CTCTCAAGAAGGCCGAGGAGGAAGCTGCCGCCCGCAAGAAGGCCGAGGAGGAAGCTCCTACGGCCGAGGAAGCTGGTAACGAGACCGTTGCTGTCGAGAACGCCGCGCAGAAGTCGAAAAATGGTGGCGCTCCGGAGGAAGAAGGGGCGACGCTCAACGGAACGACGAAGCGGTCACGTAGCCGACGCGCAATTGACTTCACTGCCAAGTTCACTGAACCGTCGCCGCCGATACGCTTTTCAAGGTCGCCGGGTACGCTGAAACGTGTGCCTGCGGATAAGCCCCCGACGCGTGGCTTGCCATTGGGCACCGTGTTTGTTGCTGTACTCGCTCTCTTCGCGGTGGTGGGCGTGTTTATGCGTTGAAACTGTAATCTGGTGTTGGTTATTATTTCTTTGTTTTTGTTTTTCTGAAAGAGTGTCTTTTCAACGTTATCGCTTTTGATTCAGCGACCGATGGCTTCTACGCGGAACGCACTGTGGCTGTTACTACAGTGTGTATTCACGCTGTGCAGTTGCGGAGAGGCGCCGCTGTGGGTTTGTTGTCTTTTCGTTGTTCTCCGCATCGCGTGTCCAACTGTTCTTTCCTTGTATGTGGACCGTTCTAGTTCCTTCTGCGCTCTCTCCATCCTCTGTTTTTGCTTTTGCTTTGTAACTTAGCAAGGCTTTTTTTGTTCTCGATGGAGCGGAGGCTGTTCTTGGATTTGAATGCACGGCCACTGCCGTAATTGCATCGAAGAACGCTGCGCTTGTGTGCCGTATAAGTAAGTCATCCTCTTTTCTTATTGCACCAAGCTGTGCGTGTTGCAGGACATCCGTCTCTCAGGAGCTTTTTCCCTCAAAGGCAGGAACAGCAGTTCGCGGAGGCTTCAACTGCATCAGTTATTATCGCTGTGACCATGCGCGGTTTTTTTTTAGATGAATTTCTTACATTATACTAATCCTTCTGTTATTTGTTTCTAGATGTTTTACGTTTTTTAACTTAGGTAAAGCCGGTTGTCTTACAGAGCAAACCGGCGAAGAGGTGTTTTTTCTTGAACGTTACTTTGTCTCAAACGCTATTACTATGCTGATCATTTTTGTCTTTCGGCACCCGTAGTCGAGTCAAAGATCTCAAACAAGGTTGTTGAGATGCTGAGACTGCTTGTGGGATCGTAATACAAAGGAAAAGAAATAATTGTTGTTGTTGTTGAGTTCACGCTAGCTGCTTCCCTTTCATTTCTCCGGCCATGCCTCTTTCCTTTCTATTATCTTCTTCTTCTACCCTCTTGTGCTTCACGTTTCTTTTTCACTTTCCATCACATTTGTTGCTAATGCGCAGCTTTATTTTTGTGTTTTCTCCGTAGCCGAGCTCGAAACATGTCGAGCGGTGCTTTGGGGCGCGGCTCCTACCGTTCCATAGTGGCAGGAGTCAACCCTCGCCGCATCCCGACTTACTATCCCTCCGCGTACGAGCTTATTCAGCTCTACCGCGCCCACCGCGATGTGACGCGCGGCTTCCTCGTACGGGACAAGGTGTTCGACAACAAATTTCCTGGCACCGCCTTGGCCAACGGCCTATTCAAAATGGTACCGAATAAGCGGGAGAATTATCACTCGAGGGAGGTGATGGAGGCGATCCGCCACCGCACGATTTGGATTCAGCGCATTCAGCAGCAGCGCGCCATCAACGCTGCCGTTTTAGAGGATGCTCGGAAAGAACTGACCCCCGAGGCGATGACGCGCCGCTTTTCTTACGAGACGCCGGACGCGGCGGCGTACTTCACCCCGCAGGTGTATGAGGCGGCGAACAATTGGCCCAACTACTGGCAGCACCCAACGGAGAAACACGTGGTGCCGAAGCCACGGTGGCGTCGCGAGCCGGAGCTGGGCGGCATCACTCGCGTCCACGACGCAGTGGCCACTCCGATAGCAGATTTCTAGGAAGAAGGGAAAGGGGAGAACAGCAATAGAACAGGGAAAGTGGTGAACGTTGTTTGCTTGGGGACAGCTATTTTGCTTGTGGGTATTCCGCTGTTTTTTCTTCACATCCATGCGTCAAACTCGATTTTTTCTTCCCGACAAGTGGGATCAAAAATGATGATTTCGACTTGCATCAGCGCACCGTAAAGTGGGGTTACCCTCTGGCGAGTGGAGCTTGGCGTCACGTCGACTGCAGATGTAATATGCGGTGCATAAGAAAAGGAAATCCGTGCCTGATCCCCACCAATGGAAAGTTATGTATTCCTCTTTTGATATGCCCCAGCGGGCGGTGGCCGTGATGGTACTTGCCGTGCTAAGCCAAAGAAGGACCTTTCTGCGTGTTTCTTGACGCGCTACGCCTTCTGCTCTCCCCATCTACTCTTTTCACCCTTTTCACCGTGGCTTAACCGTCTATCTCCTTTTCCCGTGCTCTTGGTGTTAACACCTTTTTCTTCGTGTGTGGCAGACGCGGGAGACCTCCACTAGGCCATTCAAATGCTAGCTTCTCAAGCGCGCACGGTTTAGGCAACACAGCAACAACTCGGAAGAGGCTGCATCTCCACAGCAACTTCAGTTTATCTTCCTGATCTTGTAATGTCAGCGAGTGGCGTCGACATGGATGTCTTCTGGGAGGCGTGCACGGCGCACGGTGTTGTAAGTAAAAAGCTTGTAGTCCACCGGAGTCCTCATTCCACCTCCCCGGTGGGGCTGTGCGCTGCGGAGGCCGTCAAGCACGGCGCCCCGCTCATCAACGTGCCGTATCATGCAGTGCTGAACGCACAGACGCTGCGTGGCGACCTCCTTCCCCGGGCCCTGCCCCCGCTGCGCAAAGCGGCGCTTTTCCTGACTCGCCGCGGCAGACTCGGCTTGGTGACGGCGCACAGCTTGTGGCTCGCATGCTTCCTTGCTTGCCACGCTGAGGAGTGTGCACACGCGCAACACGCTCGGAAGTCTTTCCTTCACCCTTTCCTCAGCAACGGTGTGTACCCACCGCTGCCAAATCTCTTTCTGACGGCGAATGCATCGTCCTGCCCTGGCCTGCGCAGTGTGCCTGCCGCCGAACTGCAGGAGGCAGAGCGCCGCGTGTCCGGCGAGATGGACTTGATCCACACCATGCTTCGGCATTATGGAAAGCGCCGCGGCGTTCCTGCCGGTCTCTGTCCCCACAGGGAAGCGCTGGTGCTGTCGTACCGCACGGTGATGCAACGTGCGATTCTGCTGCCGTTGAACTGCCAGCCGTCGTCCCCCGATGATCTCGCGGAGCTCATCGAGTCCTCGCCCGGCATCCCCCTCATTCCGTCACTGGTGCCGGTGATCGACATGATACGTCCTGCCCATCCGTCAAAGACAGCGGCAGAAGCTAAGGAGGACGACGAGAGCGAGGCGGAGCTCACGAGCAGCGCCAACTGCACCTTGCTCACTTGTGTGCAGTCGGACTTTGTGTCCCCGTCAAGCCGGCGGCGCGTCATTGTGGAAACAGCGCCGCTGGCCGCACGCAGGGTGGTGGTCTGCGCTGCGAAGGCGATTAAAGAGGGCGAGGAGCTGCGGATGGATTTTGAGTAAACGGGCGGCCGCAGAAGAGGGCAACGAGGAGATCGAAGGACGACCGGCCCAAATGCGCGTGCCTTTCCGCCGTTCTTCTTCATTCGATCTCTTTTCTTGCACCAGCATCTTCATTTTTCACACAAGGCAGCTGTTATTTGACAAGACTTGCGCATAAATCTTCGCTCACACACACACACACGCTCGCAGACACACACGTGCACATTGACTTACCGAGAAGCGCCTACGCTGAACTCAGAGTACGTCATTGTTCGCATAACTAATATCTCCGGCCCGTTAAAGAGGCTCCGTTCTTCGCATATGGAGCTCTGCAACGTTGGACGAAAAAAGCCTTGGTCTTGTTGAACTAGGGAAGTTGTACATCTCGTTTGAGCTGTATCTCCGTTGCCTGGATCTGCTTCGCACGAGCGCCGTCTCTATCTGCTTCTTTGCGCTTATTTCGCGTCTCCTTGAATCTTTCATCTTTTCATTCGGCTTCGCTTTCCTCATCTTTTTCTTTTCGTTTTCCACGCGTGTGATCTACCTCTCTTGACGCGCATCTTTGAGTTGCTGCTGGCAGAATTGTCTTCCGTTTTCCATCTCCGGTGAAGCCTCGCCCGTCCTCCATTTCTTGTGAGACTGTCTCTTCAAAACACGCTCCCGTCACCGACTGACGTTCTCCTCGCCATTTTTTTTCTCCTTAAGTTTTCTCTCTTAATGCACCTCTCCTGCATGTTATTCGTTCGTTCGTAGCATAAATATACAAACGGGAAAGGAAACCGTCCAATCTTCTCACGATTCACAGCACTTGGTGCGCTCTTTCCTCTCCTTTGTCTTTTGGTTTTTAGCATCGTAATTCTCTTCTTTTTCCTTTTATGATACTTTTTTCCCGATCTACCATTGTCTGTCAACATGAGCAATCACGAGCTTTCTGAGCGGTCGGCCTTGCGTGTTGAGGTGGGGGAGACCGGTGGGTACAAGAGCTGCGACGCCGCACGTGTGGCCTTTCGCAACCGTGACATCGAGGCGTCCCGCCGTGAGCACATGAAGCCGATGCATCAAGAAAGCCATAGTTCAAGCGCAACGGAATACGTAAAGTCCGTTGTTTTTGGTGGTCTGGACGGTATCATGACGACCTTTGCTATCATTGCCGCTGCGGCAGGCAGTAACGGTAACTACGCGACGGTGCTCATCTTCGGCTTCTCCAACGTCATTGCGGATGGATTCTCGATGGGGTTTGGCGAGTACGTGTCGGGAGAGGCGGAGCGCGACAACGCCATCATGGAGCGCCGCCGCGAGGAGTGGGAGGTGGAGAATTCCTTCGACTTGGAGCTGGACGAGATGGTGCAGATTTACATGTCCAAGGGACTGTCGTTCGACGACGCACACACCATCGTCGGCATCATCTCGAAGGACCCGAAGATGTTTGTCGATTTCATGATGGTCGAGGAGCTGGGACTGTTGGTGGACCTCGATGACGCGCACGGCCCGAAGAAGCAAGGCGCCGTCATGTTCGTTTCGTTTCTCGTGTTTGGTGCAATTCCGCTGCTTGCCTATTTACCAGGCAAAGGCCAGGGCACCGATGCCGTCTTTGTCGTCTCGTGCGTGCTGACAGCGATCTCTCTGATCGTGCTTGGCGCTGTGAAGGGGTTCCTTGTGGGCTTCAGCATTTCGCGCTCGGCGGCGTTGATGGTGCTGAACGGCGCGATCAGCGGTTTGGTGAGCTTTGTGGCGGGCCATTTGATTGAGATGGCGCTTCGCAATGAGGTGAGCGGGGCTGCTGCTCCGGTTTAAGTAAACGTACATATTTTTTCTACAAGAAAAGAAAAAAAAGAACGAACACTCGCGACTCTGGACTACATGATGCCAGATGGTCCACCGTATATGAAGTACCCAGCTTAGAACAATACCTCTTCGCTACACTCCGCACCTACATCGTTTTGGTTTAATAATAAGTTTTGACTCGCTCTCCTGATCATGAGACTTCTGTTTATCAGAGTAAACAATCTGTTTTTGTAGCGGTCGCGGTGTCGAAGCAAAAGGGCAGACCAAGGACCAACATCGACGGGAAAGATAAAATGACTTGTTTTTTGTGATTTGAATATACATGAAATACTTGGTTTCTTTTTTTCTAGGTACAATCAAAAAAGAACATGTTTCATCAGTAACGCATAGGCATGCGTGTGTGTTGTTTCCATCGCCGTCGTTTGGTCCTCCGCAGTCATCTCTTCCGTTAAGCTGCAGGGCGTTGTTCACGGAGTGACGAAGCGCATCTGCTAAAGCAGTATCAACCTCGTCTTTGTTTCTTTTCGTGCTCTCCTGCCGATAGCGCTGCGCTCTCCCACCTTGTGCGTATATGCATGTATATATACACAATCTTTCCAGTGCCCCCACCCCTCTGCGTTGTACTCACTTTCTCCTCTGCTGCTAAACAAGCATCACGACCACTTGCAATTTTAATTTAGCTCACAGAACAATACTGCAGGTGCGACACCCCGCACGTCCGCAGGGGGAAGCCCTTTCCTCTCTCCGTTTTTCTCTTCTTTTTGTAACTGAGTGGAGAGGAGCGTTGCGCTCACGACCCCTTCTGAGGATGGAATCAAAGGGCCGTGTTCTCGGTGCAGTTCGCACGCTGTCGGAGGCCGTGTCAGCGCAAGTGAAGACGGAAGAGGCCCGTGTGCTGGTCCTAAAAGTTGTGTCTGGCAAGTTAGAGTCTTTCAACCTGCACCAACTTGAGCAGGCCCTCTGCTACTTTACAAACCACAACAGCGAATACACAAACGTGACGGAGGACGAGTTTCACGTGCTCGCGGAGGAGACGCTGAACAACTCCATTCGGTCTATTCTCGTCTACGACGACTTCTCCGGTTACTTCGGCGATGCCGAGGTGTACTCGCTCTCCATGGCTTTCCAATACAACCTTTCCGTGGAGGCCCTCACCCTCAGCGGCATCAACATCAGCGACGAGTCCATCTGCGCCCTGTGCGAGGCCCTTGTGCGGTCCCGTGTCAACTACATCGACCTGTCCAACACACCGCTGGAGGACGAAGCAGGGCGGTCCATCGCCGCCTTGGCGCACGTCAACCCCTATTTGCGCACCGTCATCGTCGACGACACCCTAATCGCCGACGACGTGCTGGACGAGATTGACGTGGCCTGCCAGTTTAACCACAGCAACTGGGAGGGCAACGACAGCCGAATGGACGAGGCGCTGCTCCGCAGTTCTGATCTCATCCGATTAAAGCACCGCCTACAGCACATCATCCGTGCGCAGCACAAGAAGGTGCACTTCTGTGTGGCCCACCTCTTCGGCTGCTGCCCTAACGGTGATCTGTGCCTGTACTCGCACTCGTTGGGAACCAGCGAGCTCGGCGAGCTGGACACGTCGCTGTCGGCGAAAATATCGGAGCTGTTTGCGAGCGGCGGGAACTGGGAGGAGCGCCTGCCACCACGTCCCTCCGACGGTGCCTCGTGGCGCAACCCAGAGGACGCAGTGAAGAGGAGGCCACGGCTGAACAAAACCCCGCAGGAACGCCAGAAGGCGAAGGAGGAGGAAGACAAGAAGACTGCTGCTGCCGCCGCTGTCATGGACCAGGCACGCTCTCATTGGGCGCCTCTCCTCAACGGGCTAGTTGGGATGTGTTGCGGGATGCTCGTGGTCGGCGTAATCAGTGCTGTTGCGCGCCGCATCGCACGCAGCAAAGGTGCGACGTAGGCGATGAAAGCGAACGAAAGAGTTTGCGTCCACGACAGATCGTGCTGCCGCTTTTTTGTTGCTCTAGCTGGCGCTGTTGCATGGACGCAGACGTCTCTTCAGCTATTTCCCCTGCGTACACTTCGGCTTTCCCTGTCCATTTCCGTGCACGCCTGCAGCTGCTTTTCAAGCGTGTGTCGGAAAGAAAAACAGAAAACTGGCGCCCGCAGATGAACGAAGGTTATTTTTGGTGTTTTCTTAGACAGCAACAAAAAGCACCACTCGTTTCTGCTTGTGTGGTGCCTGTTTGCTACTTCACAGCTCTGTTTACGAATTTCATCTTTCCACGACAAGAAGCGATGACGCGAAGGATGTGAAAGTGATTTTTCCACACGTGGAAAGCATCGAACAGTCCTTTCTTTTTCCCGCTTTCAACGACCTAGGGCCCTTTCTGCCTGGCCTTAATCGCAGGGTGCTGCAAATCCCTCTAGGTTCGGCCGCTTGCCGCTACTCTCGACGCCAGCCGCCTTCCATTATTATGCGTGTCCATGGCGAAACCCCACGCTTGCGCTGCTGCCCATAATTGCGGCAGCAACGTTTACTCAGCATACGCACTTTTGTTTTCTCACCTCTCTTTCCTCTGCTCAACTTTTTCCACTTCCTCCCGACACTGAACGTTCAGTGGTGCTACGCCGTTACCGCTCCTCTTTTCTTTTTAGGAAGAATTGAAACTCTTTCACTATACCCGTACTTTCAGCAAATCCAGCTGCCTTTTTCTACTGTTTATTCCCCTCATCATCAAGCAACCTTAAGAAAAAACTCTCAAGCTCCTTTCTCACAGGTGCTCGATTGCAGTCTACCTTATTGGGCATCCTTGGCGTTATCAGTCGTATTCCCTACCTGTTGCTGAGTTAGTCACCATGTCAGGCACCGGCAGCGGACACGATCAGTCTACGGACGTCTTCTCCGCCGAGGGCCGCGTCTTCCAGGTGGAGTACGCCGGCAAGGCGGTGGACAACAGCAGCACGGCAGTCGCGGCGTGCTGCAAGGACGGGGTGGTGCTCGCGGTGGAGAAGATCCACTCCAGCCGCATGCTGGAGAACAACTCTAACAACCGCATCCACGCCGTCGACCGCCAGGCCGGCGTCTGCATCTGCGGCTTGCTGCCGGACGGCCGCGCCATCGTCTCGCGCGCTCGTTTGGAGGCGGAGAACAGTCGAGACATCTTTGCGACTCCCATTCGCGGCTCCGTGCTGGCCAACCGTGTGGGGGAGTTCATGCACGTGTACACCACGCACTATGCCTACCGCCCTTTCGGCTGCTCTGCCATCATCGCGTCCTACTCGGACGACGGCCCGCAGCTGTTCGTGAGCGACCCCAGCGGCACGGTGGCTGGCTACTACGGCATCGCCCTTGGCAAGGCGAAGACGGTGGCGAAGAGTGAGCTAGAAAAGTTGGACTTTGCGAGCCTCACCTGCGACGAGGCGGTGGCGAAGTTGGCGAATATTTTGCACGATGTCCACGATAAACAGAAGGACAAGCTGTACGAGGTGGAGGTGGCGTGGGTGTGCGACAAGTCGGACCGCAAGTTCGAGCACGTTCCGGCCGAGATGATCCCACCGCCGCCGTCTAGCTAATCCGGGGAAAGGTTTTCTTTTCATCCTTTTCTGGTTTCCTGTCTTTATCGGGGAGGTGACGCTGGGGTGTTTTGCAAACGACGCCTAAGGCGCGTTGGGCGCACTTCATTTTACGCATCCGTCCGAATTGTGTTGATGATCGGGCACAGCGCTCTTTAAGCGGGATGTGCGTCTTGTTTCCTCTTTTTCTTATTCTGCGGGCTCCTCTGCAAAGGATGTGTTGACGTGCCGTTTTTTGCGCCTTGTGCCGTTGTTCAGCTGTGCTTGCAAAGGCCTTTGCCGTTTGTTCCACGTTGCTCTTCTTGTTTTGACTGGCCGAAGATCACGGGCATCTGCGAAGCGCAGCAGTGGCGATGAGTTTCTAAGTCGTGAGTGGCGCGAAAGGCGAAGGCTTCTGACCCACGATCAAGAGAAGGGAGGCAATCGCATCGATTCGTCCTTTGGCCTCCGAAACTTCCACTCTTTGGTACGGTGTGACTATTATTCGCTCCCGAGCGTATTTGGTGTTTTGTATTGGGCGACAGAAAGAGGCTAGAAGAGAAAACACAACCGCGCTAATGCGGAGACGCACGTGGAAGCTGCTCTCTAGGAAGCAACATTGGGACTGCCAGCCTCTTCACAGATGGCAGGCGCAGGGTGCAACACGGCCCAATATCACGAGCACCGCCGTTGGCGCCACAGGCGTCGCAATAAATACAGGAACGTGCTTTAATGCCTGCAGAGTTCGTATTGTTCAAGGGGCCAATGTGGCGACTGTAAAGCGTGCCCAACAAAGGATTTCGTGTGCAGAGTTTCTCGTTTTCCGTTGGGCTAATTTGCAGCGATCTTTCTTGTGTTTTTCCCTCCCGTTTCCTTCTCCCACCTTTTTTGTTTTGAAATGTCGCTCTCAATAATTGTTTCGGCCCGCCGCAAACGGAGCGACGTTGAGAGTTGCACCACCCGCTCACACAAGAGAGGAAAGAGAAGAGAAACATAAATGCTCCGTAGCTCTCTGCGGTGCGGCGTGCACCGAGTGGGCTACACGCATCCCCACCAACTTCCCGTGCCGTGTGCGCAGCGGTGGGATCTTCGCCTCGCCCGCGCCCGCATCTTCCAGGAGTACGTCGAAGAGAAAGCGCCGGGGGCGTGGCAGCTGGAGGACGAGCGGCACATGTCACCGGAGTTCAACACGTTCACCGGCTACCCGATGCGCAATATGCGCCCAGGTTACGGTCAGAACTTGCCGGAGTTTATCATGAAGAAGAGACTACCGAACAACACCCATTACGAGCTCTTCGCGCGCCGCGATATCCCGAACGAAGACAACGCGATGTATGGCAAACTGCTCTATGACATGACGATGCACGGTACGTCGCTCCCGTCTACCTACCGCATGCACAAGGACATCAACAAGGCGCAACGTAATGACCGCAAATTGTCGGGCAACCGCTTCAAGGTGATGAACTCGAGTGGGGCAAAGAACCCGCCGTCTGGCTTCGAGCCGATTCCCGATGCCACAGGGGAAGAGGAGGACTAGGGACGATTGAAATGAATCGTCAATGCGTACGGAGGATGGCAGCGGCCCCGTTGACACGCTCTTCACGCGCTGCTACGTTGAGAACAAGAAATCTGCTTATCGAAGTGATTGGGCGTCTTCTTCTCGTCCCGGCCTTCGGCGTTCTCTCGGTTTCGCTCTCTAACTCCCTTTTCTTTTCATATTTGTGGTCTCCGTCGCGTTCGCTGTGCCGCTTTTCGTCTTGCAGAAGCTCTCCAATTGGACGCCGGGGTCTTCGTGAGGGGTGCGCGTGTGGTACCAAAAGTGTCGGTCTTTGTGGAACCCTCCGACGCCCAAACTTCGTCTTCCCTAACGGTCTTCACGTTTCCAGTAGACTGGATCGCTGTGCGGTTTGTGTACACGAGTGGTACTTAGCGCAGTGGAGTTGTTGTGTTGCACAAAACAATTGTATCAAAAACAGCACCGCAGATTCGAGGTTGAGTTACACAGGGGTGGGCCTCTGCGTGCGAGCAGGGGCACACGGTGAGAGGTGAAATCGTTGTCCATGAGCTGCGTTTTCATCTTGGCGAAGACCAACTTGTCTAAGCCTGACCGCATGCAGTGCTGTGCCAGAAAAGAAGCATTAACGCGCAAGACCTCAGCGGAGAATGCGCTGACGACAACCTCTTGTTCATTCCTTACGAGAGCCTGTAGTCTTTTGCCCTGCCCGAATCCGAAGACACGTACTCGACATCTCGTAGCGCTGTCTTTCATTACTTATCTGTCTTTCCCCACTTTGCCGTTAATTTTCTCGCCATTGAACGCCCGCCTCCACTGCGACACGGCCTTGCTTGATAACAAAAAGCACACACTCCTCTTTTGCCGCCAACGGGGAAAGCAAATAGAAGAGCGGCGCGATGTTTGATCAATGGAAAATGGACCTCGAGTCCGAGGACCACCGCGCCAGGCGCGATATGACGGAGAAGTCCATCGCTCGCTACATCAAGGGCGACACGGAGCGGCAGGTCACCTCCTCCTCCACCTCTAACGCCGTCTTCGTGTCTGACTGCACCTGCATCATGGGTGCCTCTGTGGCCCAGCCGTCGTACCTGTGCTGCGGTCTCAGCAACGGGAGCGTTTGCCTGCTCAACACCGCCAACCTGTCTAAAATTTACCTCTTCGAGGTCGACCGCGATCCGCGCGCCGCGTCGCGAGACGCCGAACGGCGCGGCTCGACGTTGCGCGGCAGCGGGTCATCGGCGGCTCAGCAACTCGTCGCGGTGGCGACGCATATGCTGGCTCCGAGCGGGAGCACCGCGACGGCCGCGGCGGCTGCGGGCCAGCTGCTGCTGTGCATGACTCTGGACAGCGTGGTATGCGTGTGCCCGATGGACTTGTCGACGGTGCTGGAGCGCAAGAAGGTGTCACGTAGCGACGTGACGAAGGTGAAGCCTTACCCGCTGATGAAGTCCGCGTCGGTGCGCTACTCCATCGTGCAATTTAATCCGAAAGGCAATCGAATCGCCGCGGTGCTCGGCGTAGCCCAGGAGGACGGCCCGACTTCCCCGTCGACGTGCTCTGATGTCCGGCACTGTGTGGCGGTGCTCACGTCCACTGACGCCGCCGTGACGCTCCAGAGCCAGTTTGCGTGCGAGAGGGAATGGCACACGCTCGCCCCCCCAACGACGCCAACTGCGGCGACGGATGCTCCAGCATTGAAGCTGCGCTACTGCGGGTGGTGGTCGGCGGACGTTTTGGTGTGCCTGTGGTCTAACAGCTGCGTCCAGCTGCTGCGTGCGGGCGATATGGCGGTGGTGGGCGAGTGTCGGCTTCTCCGCCACTGCGCTGCCGACGCGGTGACAAGCGCAGCCGTCAGCCGCCCCAGTGGCGCCGAGGCCTCGGAGAGTCTTTCGTCGAACATTGTGGCTTTGGTGCTCGACCACAACGTGGCCGCCACCTTTTACGTGACTTCAAAGAAGGCGGTGTCAGCAGAGGCGCCGGACCTGAAGCGAGCTCGAAGTGAGCTGCCGCTCTCGCTGTCGATTACTCCTACGCTGCAGACCTACTGCACCGAAGAGATCCCCATTCGGGAGGCGTACCTCTTCCGATCTTTCTCCTGGACGCTGTTGCTGCTATTAGAGAGCGGCGCGTTGGTGTTTTTGGACGTGGAAACGATGAAGCTTTCTGTGCATCGCGCTGTGAACCGGCTGCGAGCACCAGATGTGGACCGCTATCGTGCCCGTGCGTCTCTGGCCCTGCCGAGGCATTACTTTTGTGTCGTAAATGGTAAACCGTTCACAGCCGCGATCATCGAGTACAACGCTGCAGTTATGTTGAAGTCGCAGTAGAGATTCGCCGCGTCCACTGCAGACGACTTGATCTCCAGCGTGTACGTAAACTTCAAATGACAAAGAGCAATTGGATGAAAGATTCGACAGCGGAGATATATATGTTTTCGCTTTTAGGATGTGAACGTGCGCGGCCTTCGAAGGGCACAAAGGGCTGTCGACAGTAAAGCGAGGCGAGACGCTCTCTTTCCAAACTGTTGTTTCCGGCTTTTTTAAATATGTATTTGGCTGACCATGATGCCTGTGCCGCGCCATTGAATATCGCTGGACTTTGCAGCGGGTGCTCAAAAGCTCCTGCTTCAATCCTGCTGGCATCTGATCGTTAGTGGTTGTTTTGCTTCACCAGAGCAGCACCGTTTTCGGGCAGGATGGCGTTCCTGCTGCCTTTCCCATTCTCCCCATTCTCCCCATTCTTTTCTATCTTCCCCTTCCCCGTGCCTTCTCCCTTTTGCGTATTCGCCTCTGCAGTGAGCGTTTCGTCGGAGAACGCCACCCACAACACGATCGGAGAGTGCGGCCGTTGAGTTCTCCACCGCTTCCCCGTGACGCGCAACCGGGAATCTCGCCAGATCGCTCCTCTCACGCACACGAAGTTTTTTTTTACACGGTTTTGTCTGCGGTCGCAACGTCCACACGATGCGCTCCTCGCCGCGTCTCGCCGTACGTATTGTGCGCTGCGCTCCCCTCCTCACCCGCGCGGCTGTCCGGGCCCCTCTCCACTCCGCCGCGTCTTTCTGCGCACCGCTGCACGTCTCCCGACGCAACTTTGCGAAGGTCTCGTCCATACACGGCAAAATCGACCCCCCGCCTGGCGGCTTCGTGACGGACGATTTGAAGGTCGACATGAACGCGAGCATCGGCGGTGCCTTTGCCCGTGGCGTCTTCGCGGCCCGCGAGATTGGCTACGGCCGCGAGGTGATGAACCTGCCTGCCTACTGCATGTACATCTCCGAGGGCGAGAAGCAGCCGCTGCGGGAGCAGGTGCTGATTTTAACGAAAGACATTTTTAGCAAAGTGGTCTTGGGCAGCCCGGCGGATCAGGAGTACGTGAAGCATCGCATTCTCTCCCTCATGTCGGGTGGCTTCTCGTACTTCACGCGAGAGCGCGATGTCTTCGACTTTGCGGAGGAGGTGCGTGCCGCCGGGACGGAGGGGGCCATCCGCAACGGGTCGAACTGTTTGCTGGGTGGGCAGTTCTCGTCCTACGACTTGCAGCGGCTTCCTCTTATCGTGGAGTTCAACCGCTTCGAGGTGGACTACCGCGGCCGCCGTGGCATCTGCCTCTTTCCTGAGGCCTCGTACCTGAACCACAGCTGTGAGCCGAATGTGGAGCTGTCCATTACGTACAACAGCGCCAAGAACAACTTTTACCTCAGCGCACGCGCAGTGCGGCCTATTCGCGAAGGTGAGGAGCTGTTCATCAACTACATGCCGGGAAACAATCTACCGTTGTCTCGGCTTGCATTGGCCATGAAGAAGCGTTGGGGTTTCGAGTGCTCTTGTGTGAAGTGCAAGAGCCGCGCTGTCGGTGCTGTCACGGTCGTTTTCGTTGTACTGCTCATCCCGATCATCGTGTACATCCGCCGGTTTATTGTCGAGCGCACAAAGGAGAAGCACCGAAGCCTGTGAACGCTGCAGTCCGTTGCAATGAGAAGCACCGTGCCGGCTTCCCCTTCTTTGTTTTTGCTGTTGTTGCCACATCCCTTCTCATCGTTGCGGCGCGTTCGCTTCTTCGCAGTTTTTGTTCCTGCTCCCTCTCCCTCTCCTTCTGTTTGTGCGCTGTCGTGGGCGGTACTGCGGGCTCGGTGGGGAAGGCTTCCTTGTGTGGTTTCTGTCTCTTTCCGTTTGCGAGTAAGAGTTGGTCATTTTCTCTTGTTTTCGTCATCAATTGACTGTAGTTGTTCTTACAGATTTATGAACTACGAAAACTGCCAAAGCCAACAGTGCATCTGCACTAGACTTGATCAAGTCCGTTCGTCAAGTGCGTGTGAAGCGCACTGGGAAATGAGGAGAATAGCGTTCTACGAATTCGCGCACTCGAGTCTTGGGCTGCTGTTCCCTATACTCCCAATACTCCCCATTGCCGCTGCCGTCTGGTGCTTTTCGTTTGCAAAAGCCCCCCTCCCTCCTCCCCCTTGGAGCAGCGAGTCATCACCAAAGGTATGCATGTCCAATCCATGCCGTAAGAGCGTCTTTTTTTTTTGATCTGATTGGTCATCTGTACAAGCATCCTTCTCCTTTTGTCTTCTCTCTCTCCGCTCGTATTCTTCCCTTCTCGAAGTTAATTTGAATCGCCTGCTTTTTTTTCTGATTTGTAAAGAGGAGATTTAGTCCGCTTGGGAGTGAGAGGCATCCGCAATTAGTGCACCCGCGCGTGACGGCCTGTCTGACGGTGCAGCTCACCATCTGACTCAAAGCTCCTTTGCAAGGTCAAGAAGTCCCGCTTACGTTTTTTATTATTTTCACTCGAAAACGGAGAGAGAGACTGAGAACGGAAATCACTGTGTTTTCTCTTTCTGAGTTGCGCTCTCGGGGACCAAACGTCGATATACACCGTTTTTGCTGTCCGCAAACCACACAGCCGAGCACCAGCGTCCTGATTTTGTTTTCAATGCGTTGTTGTCAGGCGTGAAACTTCGCTCTTCATATCTTTTGTATGCGCTGCACACGCAAACGTACGTCGGCGGTGCTCAGCTTTATTTCGTTTGTTTTCTGCCCGTTTCTTTCGCCTATTGTTGGTTTGTTACACACGTAATTCAACACTCAATTTTTCTTTTCCCCCTATTAGTTTACTGTCGTTCTCCTAGTGCAAGATGTGGAACATGGCGTCCAGTCCTGTTTCCTCCGTCAACGGTTCCCGCTCGGTGACGGGCAGCGCTAGCAGCTACGTCTTCATGTCCACTGGGGGGTCGCAGACGATGATGGGGCTGCAGACGGGAGGCGTGGCGAACGGCATGATCCCTGGCGTGGTACCGCCGCATGACCGCACGCAGGAAGTGTGTAAGTACTTTGTGAACGGCGGGTGCCTGCGGGGAGCCAACTGCCCCTATCTGCACGAGCTGCCCGACGAGCGCCACCTCGACGTCAACGGGTTAGGCTTCATTCTGAACCCGAACGTACATAATGCGCAGAAGACGGTGCCGTCCCCGCAGTCGCAGGCGGCGGCGACCACAGCTAGCCAGCCACCCAAGACCACCAGCTCGCCACTCTCCATCGCGCTGAACGGCCCCACGCAGACGCAGAATAGAGTTTACATGTCCACGAAAGTGGCCAATAACCAGCCCCCGCCACTGGGTGGCTCCAGTCCAGCTTCTCCGCAGACGGTACCAAACGGGAAGCTGCCGCCACCCCCCAAGTATAATCCGCCGGAGCCGTACCTAGAACTGAACCTGCCTCCCGCATTAGCCTTCCCTCTCAAAGCGCCCGCAAAGGACACCGCCGCGTCGCTCGCCCGTGCGATGCTCCAGATTTAGGTCCCCTCTTCTGTGCGTTTTCCTCTTGTTGCTCGAAAGTTCAACCCAGAAAATGTGACTCTTCTCTGTGGTTGCGGCTTCACCTTGGATGGAGGGGTGCGTGTGTTGCCGGCGTCCGACTCGTGACAGCGAGAAGAAGTAGAAGGCTCTCCTTTCCCTCCTGTGGAGAGACCATCATTTTTATCTTGTTTTTCCTTCTTTCCTTTGTCTCGGAATACAGTGCTTGCCGTTGGAAAAGGCAGATGTGGCCCGGTTCTAGGTTCCTGTTCTCTTTTTTGTTTTCGCCTCCGCGCCTCTAACTGTCATGCAGTTCGGGTGCGCGTGTGCAGACTGGGCCATTGCTGTTGTGGGTGAACTAGATTCAGGATAGTGGGCGGAGGTAGCGTGGGTGAGAGTTTTAATTGTGTGGTAATATGTGTTAATTGCTCCTTTAAGAAAAGTATGAATCGATAAAGCTAAAGCGAAGTGCTCTATGTGCCAACAGCGCGTCAGATTTAAGGGCGGTCTACTGTGGAGTGAAATGGCGGTGATGTTGTTTTATATTTCCTCTTCGAGTTTTGCTTCAGTTTTCGTTGGATGATTAAACTGCGTTTTCCCCTTTTTACTTTGTGTTCTTTTATCTCAAGCAATGAAGCCTTTTTTATATGTCTTATCCGTAGAGAGCACCGATTAATTGTTCTTTACAAGCATTCGTTTTTTTCCCCTGAAGAAACTTATCGTTCAGAATGAGTATGGTAGATGACGGGGAAGGGCTGGTCGTGTATGATGGCTGCTGGGATCACCAGATTCTGTGCCACACTGCGACGCGGGTCTCTCTTTTCTTTTTTTACTCTCCTCCTTTTTCTCTTCTCCGTTTCTTTTCTTTCGTCAGCACATTTTCCTCCTTGCGGTGTATCTCGATTCATCCCAGACATAGACGAGGCCAATCAAGGCTCCAACGCTCTTCTGCTTGCCAGGCATTAGAGTTGAGAACGACGTGTGAGGAGTTTTTCTTTCTTCCACCTCGCTGCTCCGCTTTCCTTTGCTGTTTTACTCGGTGCCATTCCTCGTGGCTTACGTTCGATTTCTCCGCTCGCCTCTTCTTTCAACGATGCTGAGTTCATCCAGCAGCATTGGGGAGGTGGATGACGGTCCCACAACCACTACCACCGTGATGGACGACGCGCCATATGTGGATATGAGGAGGGAGGCGGCCCGATACGTGGCGTGGAGTGCGACGGCGCCTCACGGCCTTCGAGCGACGACGGAGAGCGTCGACGACGCACTGCGCAGAAGTCGGATGGAGGTGATGCGAACGGTAGCGGCGATGCGTGCCAGTGAGGAGGAGCTCAGCGGCGAGAAGCCCGCACGCCTCTTGGCGCCCCCGCTCCAAGATGCCCACTTCCTCCATAGCGGCGCACGCAAGCCACTCTACCCCCGCCGAGCCACACGGCACTTCAAAACGATCGAGGACTTGGCAGCGGGTTCGCCTACAAAGGCGTCAGGCGATCGCCGGTCGAGCAGAGTTGTGTGGCGCGGTGCGCCGTCCTACCCGGTGTCCGAGGGGACTCGTGACGGGACGGTGGTGTGGAGTGACCCCCGCAGCGCCGTCGCAGAGAAGCACCGGGCGGCCGTCGAAGCGGTGAAGCCGCACGTCGCAATGAAGGTGGAACGGATGATGCAGAGTCACACGCGTTCGCTTGGCGCGGTGAAGCCATACGGACTGACCCGCCGCGCCAAACAAGAGGACAGCAGGTTTGTGCCTCAGCCCACTGCAGATAGTAACGAGCGCTACATCGATCGCATGCAGTGCAGTCGCCCTTCCAAAGGGCTCTATGTCTATTACGAGTGATGTCTTGTCTTTTCGTTTCAAAAGAAAAACCCGGTAGTTGGTGCTTATCATTCAAATCGACCCACAAAGAGGCGCCACTCCGCATGTACAACAGCTGGCACTCGCTTCGCTTGAAAGAATGTTCTGGCATTCGTTTTCTTTTCCTGGCACCTCTGCTTTCTTTAGAGTACCTCGCACGTGGGCTTCGAGAACGGCGTCGTGCATCTCTCTTAATGTAAAGCTTTTGTTTTTTTTTCTGTTTTCCTGGCACACGTTTTTTTGTTGTCAGCAGTAAATGGAGTTGACACCACCGCACCATGCGAGTTAATGTCGATGTACATGACGGGTGCGGGGGTCGTGTGTGTCTGCTCGTGCGCCTCGTTTTGCTTTGGTACCGTCTTCTGTCTCCTCTGGAGGTCAACGGAATGAAACGCGGTTGGGCATGTGCTGGTGCACTTCTCCTTCACCCACAACACTTACCTTTCTTATTAGCGTTCTCAATCCGAGAATGTGCTATTATCAAGCAATGTTGCTCATCCGCGAACTTCGGCGGCCGCCTAATAGGCAGGGTCGTCGTGCCCCCTGCGGCTGTGCACGGTAAGAGGAACGAAACAAAATTCCCTGGCACCGCTAATCTCACAAGGCGGGTCTTCTCTCGAGTCCCTTTGCACTTCTGATTCTCTTCTTGGCTTCTTTGCTTTTACCACGCACTTCTGTCTCCGGCAATAAACTCACGTACCCGCACTTGCATCCCCGCGCAGTAAGTTAAGAATTAAACTTCCGTAACTGTAATTCTCCATCACAATGCAGCAGGCGTATTTTGGTCCTCAGCAGCCCATGCTCCCGCCGGGCTGGCAGCTGTCTTACACGGCTGACGGGAAGCCTTACTACATCGACCACAACACCAAGACGACGCACTGGACGATACCGCCGACCGCGTACGAACCGTACTACAATAACGGGCGCGGCCGTGGTGGCGCTGGATACCGTGGCGGTCGCCAGGGCATCGATAGGACCAAGATGAAGTCCAAGATGTGTATCTACTGGGAAAAGAACGGCAACTGCGCGTGGGGCGACCGCTGCGCGTTTGCGCACGGCGCCGAGGAGCTCCGTAACCCCCCTGCGCAGGCTCAGAACGGTGCTTCTCCTAATGCGTAAGGGGCGAGCGAAGCCGTTAAAAAAGAAAAGAAGAACGTAATGTAAAGTGGAACGAAGGAGCGGGGCAGTACTTCCGACGAATTATTTTTTGTTTCTATCTCTTCAGAATTTGGTCTTCCGGGAAAAAAGGAAAGTAAAAGAAGATAAATATTTCTATAAGGCAAATTGAGGAGTAAAATAACTTCTGTTAAAAAGAAATATTTAAAGTAACCCCTATTAGACGTTTTTAGTTTTGTTATAAAGCTAACCTAGTAGCAGGCGTGCAAGAACGTTTCACGAACATGAGTACTCATTTTATAACTATTGGTCAATGCTCTATTGTATTTACGCGCTGGAAGAACAAAAGAAGCCCGTTCACGTTCAAGCTCGGTTTCGTGTGGTCTCTTTCTCCGCGGTGCCGCAGTGTTAGATGGAGATGTGAAGCACCGCGGTTTCTCAGCTGCTACGACCGTCTCTGCACGCATGTGAGTCAGAGGGACCGGTGGCAAGAGGGGGTGGGGTGGGGAGATTATGAACCCAGTCAGCAAAGTAGAGGTGTGCGGTGCGCTGCGTACCTTCCGTAACTCCGCCTTTGAAGATCCGTCTTTCCTCTTTGCGAGTCGGTTTTTTTTTAGGAAGATCGGCGATACAAGAATGCACACGCTAACGCATACATTTTTTTGTGCTGTGCTGCATGTGTTACTGACGGTGTTGCAATTTCCATGGTTGCATGCTCGTCGGTGCTTCTGCTATCTCCGCCTTTCCGCTCCATGACACACCTTGGTGCTTCTTCTTTCCTTTTTCTCTTCTTGTTCTTCGGCCTTTCCGTTGTGTTTCACACACATGCGCGCGCACACACACGCACATAATAATAAACGAGGTGATAATGGTAGCAGCGCTTCCTGCAGTTCTCGCCTAACAAATCTTAATTTTTCAGTTTTGATTGTTTCTATTGCTTTTTATTCATTTAGTATCCGTCTTGCTGTAAAGTAAAAGTTAAAAAGAGCTGTTGCAAATCTGCTTTGCAAAGGTGACTTCACCCCCAACCTAACCGGCGCACTGCGGCATCACGTGTGAGGAAAGACCTGCTCTACGCTTTGTGCTGGCGCGCAGATCTACACGGGCGCGCCGACGATGTCCGCCTCTCGGCTGCTGGTGAGGGCGGTGGCCCTCCTATTCTTGTGTAACGCGTGCACCACCGCCATCCTTACCGCTTCCGCGGCCGCCGATGCACCGAAGCTGGCGTTCTTCGACATCAACCGATCGATCATACTGTCCACCACCGGCGAAGGCGCTCCGACGTCGTTTGGATGGCGCAGTCGCTTCTCGTCTCGCTACGACCCTGAACCCGCCGTGTCTGTGGCGGTGCTCGACTTCGCGACGCCGTCACACCGCACTGGCCGCACCACCTTTGAGTTCTTGACGGTCCCCTACTGCGTGGATGCCTCGGGCGACAGCACGGCGTGTGACCTCAGCGGCCGCATTCTGTACATGCTTGTGCGCTTCCGCCGCCATCAGGAGGCCAACTTCCAGGCCATCATCTGGCAAGACGCTTGGCAGACCACCTCCACACAAAAGGCGTTGGATGCGTTCAAGGCGCGGCTGAACCGCACGGACGTGGTGTACCCCTCCGGCAGGGGCGCGATGCGGATGGAGGACACCGCCGCCTGCTCCGACCTCACGGACGAGTGCTACCTCTCCTCCTTCGCCACATACACGAGGAGCTTCAAGGAGGTCGACCCGTCCCAGTACAGCGGGCGTTTCCTCTTCCGCCTTGCAGAGAAGTACTCGCTGAACAGCCCGTGGCGGGTGCGGTTGCAGCACGACTTGCCGCACGACGCCGAGGCGGAGGTAGATGTGGTGCTGGTGCTCAGCAGCCTGCCCGCCGTCAACCCGCTCAACTCGCGGTGGTGGCTGGAGGGCGTCGGCGGTCGCTTTGCGCTCATCGCCGTGGGCGTCTTCATCGCCTTCGGCTTTCTGGCGTGCACGCGGGAGGTGGCGGCGCTGCTCGCACGTCAGCGCACCACCGGTGGTGCCGCCGCGGCCGCCCCCGCCCTCTTCAGCGATGACGACAACGAAGGCCACTTTGCGTTTCTGCAGCGCGTTGCAAAGGTGGCCGCGGACGGGGTGCAGAAGTTCGCCGATTACGCCATGGCGAAAGTTCGCCCGCTGAACTGCTACGCCGCCTGCCTGACGCCGTGGCGCCGTTGGTGGGACCAGCGCCGGCGACTGCCGACGTCGGAGGAGGGCAGGGCGGAGACGGAGCATGAGATCACCGTCGTGAACGCCAGCGCCTTTACGGAGGAGGAGGAGACCGGCCCGATCTGCCGCATCTGTCGCTGCCGGGAGCCTTTCGATGACCTCTTCGCGCCGTGTGCGTGCAACGGCTCGAGCAAGTACGTCCACCACCACTGCCTCGAGCAGTGGCGGGAGATGACGACCAACCCCGAGCACCGCCGCGTGTGTGCGGAGTGCAAAACACCGTACACGTTGGTGCGCGTGACTGTGCCGCAGAACGCCGACCTCATCACCGGCAGTCCCATCATCGAGCCAGCCCTTCGCCACTACGTCGCCACGGCGCTCTCCATCGTCCTAACCGTTTTCTTTGCCGTGGGCGGGGCGTATGGGCTAAAGAGTGTCTTCTTCGTCACGACGGGGTTCGACTCGAACATAGACTGGTCCTTCACCCAGAGCTACCACTGGGTTATGACGGCGTACTTCCTGCTGGCCTTAGCGTTGAACCTGAACATTATGTCTCCTTTTGTGAAGGACATGGAGTCGGCCCAGTTGCAGCTCCTCTTCGTCCTCCTCTCGCTAGTGCTGCTTGAAGTTCCCATCAGCTACAGCGTTTCCGCCGCTTTGGGCCTGTTCTTTGACCGCTTCTTCACCTGGGAGATCTCGTACGGCCTAGGCCTTGTCTCCGTCGCGCTCATCTATGTTATGGACGTCTTCACAAATTACTTTGAGTTGCTGGATTCGTTTGCGGAGGAGAGGGAGGTTGTCGCGCCACGTGCGTCGACCGAAGAAGCACAACCGCCTGCGTGACGTGTTTGCGGTGCTGCAGAAAACGAAAATGCTCTTGGTTGGAGGAACAAAGAGGAAAGAAAAAGAGCGAGGTATTTCTCTTCCCTTTCCGCCGATCATTCCGCCTGAAATGCTCCTTCCCACTTCGTTTTTGTGCTTCTCAACGGACCGCTCTATCCTTCAAGGAAAGGCAGAGACCCATCAAAAAGGATTACTCAACGTGGCGGGAGAGGTGGTCACAATCGTGGAAGTGAGCCAACACAAATTCGTACCTTTTCAGCGCTTGCCTTTTATAAGAGAATGCGTCGCGGTCAGAACAGCGACGCTTCTTGTTCTCTATTTGACATCTTTGCTTTTGCTCCTTCTACGAGTCGGTGGACCGCTCCCTGCGGAGGAATGAGCGTTGAGGACGTTTTTCTATTTATTTACGATTCGCTTTTCGTGACATACAAACAGTTCTATTGTGTTTCGTTCTGGCAAGCCTCTGCTCATCTGCACCAACTTTGCTTCCATTTGTATTCATCAGCACAAAGCGTCATTCTCGCAGAAGAAAAGAAGAAACTGAGCTCTCTCTTCACATCAACGTACATTTGAGTACGATGTGAGACGCTCCACTGGCCTTCAACAGCCTATCGTTTTCGTCTCTGCCTGATAGGGTACGCCATACATCAGATTATGGGTCTCTTTGTTTTCATAATTTATGTCTCTTACGTACCAGACACGTATCCACAGAAGCTTTTTCAACGGTGTACTCTCCCCTTTATTGTAACCCTCTCCATCTTCCTGTTGCCTTCTTCGTCTGCGATCACATTTTCTTTTCTTCCTCCTTCTCCTTTTCATTGGCATGGCTGCGCAAATCAACTCCGGTGGGTGGATCCCCAAGTCGACGTTAACCCTTACGGTATTGTCACCCTAGAGTTTTCAGCACCCTCGTCATGCTGCGCCGTACGACTGCCAGCCTCTACCAGAGCATCGCCGCGCCCATCGGGAAGGGCCGCGTTGTCCCGCTGAAGTTCGATAGCCTTAAGCCGGCGTACGTGCCGAAGTCCTTCACGACGCAGTTTTTCGTTCTGGGGTGGTGGTCGATTGCCAACATGGTCCCTAACTTCGTGATCGGCTTTCTCATCATTGCCGCGGCCAATGGCGGCCTGAGCGGTGCCTGGCCCCCGGACCCACACTCGCTGCATCCTTAAGATGACAGCGGTGTGTGTGTGTGTGTGCGTCTCGGGCCGCAGGGTGTTTCGTAGTTTACATATTAGTATTAAACACGCCAAAGTTAAGCGTAGCCTGTATTCTGGTTTATTAGCATTAGGACAGCACCTTCAATAAAATGCACCAGCAGAATACCAACAAGGGAAAGACCTCGTTACGATTTTGCGTCTCCAGAAAAGCGGGAAAGAACCTCGCGGAGTTATCGCACGTCGAGGCAGTTATCAGCTGTGATCTCGCGGCGTTTGGTGCCGAGAGAAAGACCTGCTTTCGTGAGCGCCGTTGTTGTAGACACGTCATTGCCTTTCCACCCAGATTGTCATCACGTGCCGGACCTTGCGCGGTGTTCTCTGCATGATAATGCAAACAGCGTTGAGCAGCACCCTCTATTCCTCTCTGACACGTTAAGCGGGTCTGGCCAGCGTTGTCTTTTGCCGATGTGGCCGCCTTCATGGCCCTTCCAAAGTAATGTGGTGTTATATTAGTTAACACCGGTGAGGTACAATTGGAGAGCTAAACAGCTGTGTTGTGTCTTTGAATTCCTCTTCTGCCTTCCATACCGTCCGCTTGGATCTTCTCTTCTACCCTTTTATTTCTTCTCCGCCGTTGAATTGCACGACGACGTTATAATCACTGCAAACTCACCGCGCGCTTCACATCGAACCACAGCGTGGTGTGTATGTACCTTTATCCGTATGCTTCTCTCACTCCCTATTTATAAACCAACACATACATACATGTTTAGGGGTGCCTCTGTGTCACCCGTTTTTTTCTACTTACTTTAGACCACCTTTCCTTTCTCCTTTTAGTCCTTTGTAATTAGACAGCTAGAGAGACTGCCGCACCATGGATAAGTATGAGCTCGTCACGCAAATTGGCGATGGCACCTTCGGGTCCGTGGCGAAGGCGGTACTGAAAAAAACGGGACAGCTGGTAGCCATCAAGAAGATGAAACAGAAGTTCTACACCTGGGAGGAGTGTGTGAAGCTACCGGAGGTGGACATCGTGCGGCGCATCCACGGCCACCCAAACGTCGTGAAGCTTCGCGAGGTCATTCGCGAGAACAACGAACTCTTTTTTGTGTTCGAGTACATGGACGGCGATCTGCTAGGCGTGATTAAAAAAGCAAAGCAGGCCGGCAACTCTAGCAACGGGCAGGCAACTCCGTATATTCCCTACCCGCAGATCAAGAGTTTCATGCGCCAAATGCTTCAGGCTCTCGCGTACATCCACAAGCGTGGGTACTTCCACCGCGATCTGAAGCCAGAGAATTTGCTGATACGAAAAGAGCCGACCGGCGAGGAGGTTTTGAAGTTGGCAGATTTCGGTCTTGTGAAGGAGATCCGCTCTCGCCCGCCGTTCACGGACTACGTCTCCACGCGGTGGTACCGTGCACCGGAGCTGCTGCTGCAGGACCGCTTCTACAGCTCGCCGGTGGACCTTTGGGCTGCCGGCTGCATCATGGCCGAGTTGATCACCACGCGTCCTCTCTTCCCCGGCACGAATGAGGTGGATCAACTTTTCAAGATTATGTCAGTGCTCGACAGCCCAACGGAGAAGACGTGGGCAGGCGGCATACACCTGGCCAAGAAGATCCGCTACACCTTCCCGACCATCACTGGCACGGGCCTCGCAAAGGTGCTGCCCTCGCACACCCCTGCTGTTGTGATAGATTTGCTGAGCCAAATGCTGACGTACGACCCCAAGCTGCGGCCGACAGCGGAGCAGTGCCTTCAGCACCCATTTTTCGCCGCGAACACCGACGAGCGCAACGAGCTGTCCTCCGCCGCGCTCGACCAACTCGCCTTTGCAGCGAAGCGGCTGCAGTCGGGGCCGCAGAGTGCACCGCTGCCGTTGAAGGTGCCGGTGATAGACCCCCTCGCGGTGCAGAAGCCGGGCCGGTCAACGGCGGACGGATCCGTGCCTGAGGGCTCCCCCCGCAAGCTCTACCCGCTCGGCAGGCAGGCAGAGGTGACGCCGTCGCTGAAGCCCATCGCGGGCCCTGCCCCTGTCGTCTTTCCTGGCGTGCCAGCGGTGGCCAACGGCAAGCCGTCGTTGCCCGATGCACCAAAGGAGTGCGCGGCAGAGACGGGAACCGTGCCCGGCAGCCTGCCTTCCATCCCCAGCCATGTCTCCGCCACGAAGAGACGATCGCAGGAGGTGGCGGGCACGTTTATGACGAAGAAGTTGGCGGGCCTGAAGAATGTGCACGTCGGCCACAACAAGGCACTACCGATGTACGGCAGCCTCTCAGCCAAGGCGGCGCAGCTCTCCCATACCGGCGTAGCATCAGGCGCTGCCACGACTCTATCGTCGTCCAAAGAGCCATCGACGATGGGAAGAGGTGGTGGTGGCAGCCCGGTAAACACTCGCGACACGAAGCCGATGAAGATGAACGTGGCACAGCCGATGCTCCGCCGCCTTTCCAAAGAGACGGAGCCTATGGTGCCGGTGACGCTCTCCGTCCCAAAACACGACGTCAGCCTCGACGAGCTCATGGAGGAGTTTGCCTCGGAGGTGTCACACTTCAGCGTGCATGCAGGCCGACGAGACTCCAACGCCAACGGTGACGAGGTGGCAGTCGACGCCCCGCTTGCGCAGGACCCGGTGGTGGCGCTGCTGAGCGGCAGCCGTTTCAAAAAGACAGCAACTGTGGCAAACGAGTCGACATCGCTGCAGCCGCTGAAGATGGGCGGTTCGATGCGCAGCGCTTTTTTGGCAAAGCCATTAAAGAGTGACGGCAGCACCACCACGACGGAGTTGCCTCGTGTTGAGCACGTCACGAAGGGTGTTTCGCCAGCGCTCAAAGCGCTCCTGGCAAAGCACAAAGCGAGTGCGTTTGCCTATCAATAGGTCTGCTTGATTCTGCACCACTAATAATGTGTCTTCTATTGTTTTTTTTTGTTTTTTATTGCTTCACGAATGTGTCTTCGTCTTGGTTCCCTTGTATGCTTGGCTCCGCACCTCTTTGATTTCTCTCCTTTTCCATTCTCCGTTCGTGCTCCTTTTGTTTCATATGATCATGGCAAGTAACCCGCCACCCTTACTTTCGTGTCGGCGTTATTCTCTTTTTTCGTCTGTTGTCGATGTAAATTTCCCACGCAGCATACCGCTTTTTTCTACCCCGTCATATTTTCTTTTTTTCCATCGTGTTGCTTTGGGGCTAACCGGTCATTGAGGCGTCTCTGCGTGTCTGCCGATTCCTTTTTTTTTTCAACAAAATACGAAAGAACCTTGAGCATCGAGAAAGGTCTGCTGCTGTGCGTCAGGCCAGCACCTTTCTCTCCCTTGGCGTTGGGGAGTGGCCGTCTGCAACTTACGCACGTACGTCTCCAGAGCACCAAAGCTCAGTGGAAGAGAACCAAGGACCTTTTTGTTTTTTACTGCTGTCTACAACTTCGGAACGGAGTGCACAACGCAGCGCCTTTGGATGAAGCCCTCTGCCTTTTATCTTCTTATTTCGCTGAAATTGTGCAAATGCTGTGCTGAAGCTCGCCCACCTCTGTCTCTTGCCTTCTGTCCTCCCTCTACTTCCTCTGAAATGATTTCTGCCTCTTTCTGTTCTGGTAGTCCGTCTGCTAGACCGAATAGAACATAATAGCATCATTACCTCTCTTTTTCTTGTTTTTTTTTTTTCTGCCAGCACTGCCAGTTTTCTTTCTTCTCGTTTCTTTCAAAGGATCGACGCCGTCGTTTGGTTCCCTGTCGGTTCTGCTGATAAATTATTTTTGCTCTTTTCATTTCAAAATATCAATTCTGCCTTCTCTGCTCCTTCCCCACCGGCGCTCATTCCACACGTAGGGTCACCGAGAGGCAGAAATCCGCATCAAAAAAGGAAGACAGTTCTCACGACCGTCACGGAGACGCTCAAACCCCAATTAACTCTCTTTCAATATAGTTTGCCTCTCTTTTTTCCCCCTTCTCGAGCATATACTCGCACGCCATGACTGCCCACGCTATTCAGAGCAACATCGCGGCTCTGCTGAACAACGCCGCGATGAAGCTCCCAACGGCGGTGCAGCCGTACGTCCTGCCGCTGGCCCGAGAGGACATGGTGCCGACGGCCCTCACCGTTGCGGTCGTGACGGCGGCGCTGCTATACTTCCTCATCACCGTCGTCTTCCCTGGGCTCCGCATGGACTACTATTTGTCGAAGCTGCCGACGATGCGGCACAGCGTTCCCGTGCTGGGCCACGCCCTCCTCCTCGCTGGTGCCGCGCCGTGGTCGAAGATGGCCCAGTGGAGCATGTACCCCGAGAAGAACCTGCCGAGGAAGAAGGCGGACGGCACTCACACGAGCCGGTTGGTGACCTTCAACGTGGCGGGCATGCGTGTGATTTACCTCAACGAGCCGCGACTGCTTCGCCGCGTCCTCCTGACGCACCAGCGTAACTACCGCAAGGCCATCGCGGCCGCCTACAAGCATTTCATGTGTCTCCTCGGCACCGGGCTCGTGACGGCCGAGGACGAACACTGGAAGCGCGGCCGCCTGCTGCTGTCGCACGCCATGCGCATTGACATTGTGGAGGATGTGCCGGAGATGGCGATGCGTGCCGTGGACCGCATTCAGAAGAAGCTGGATAACCTGAAGGGCAAGAACGAATACCTCGACTTCAACGAGGAGTATCGCCACATGACGCTGCAGGTGATTGGCGAGAGCGCGCTCTCCCTCTCCGCCGAGGAGTCGGACCGCATCTTCCCAGCCCTTTACCTCCCGATTGTGCAGGAGTGCAACGCGCGCGTGTGGGCGCCGTGGCGCGCCTACATGCCCTTCCTCGCCGGCTCACGCGAGCGTAACCATTGCTTGAAGGAGCTGAATAAAGTTCTCAGCGACATTATACGCAGCCGCTGGGAGCAGCGGAAAGAGCCGAAGTTCAGCGCAAAGCCCGACATTTTGGCGCTGTGCATGTCGCAGATCGACCACGTCGACAGCCACGTCATCACTGAACTGCGCGACGATGTCAAGACGGTCTTGCTGGCCGGCCACGAGACATCGGCGGCGCTGCTGACGTGGGCGACGTACGAGACGATCCGCCATCCTGATATCCGCAAGAGGATTTTCGACGAGGCGGTGAAGCTGTTCGACCCGGCCACCTGCAAGCGCACCATGGAGACACGCTACGGCGTGCGCGGAATTCCGAGCACCGACGCGGTGCGCGACCTCGTGTGGACGCCCGCCGTGCTGCGCGAGACGCTGCGCCGTCACAGCGTCGTGCCGTTGGTCATGCGCTACGCCGCCAAGGACGACATCTGGCCCGCCGCGGACACCGGTCTCGACAAGGATGTGCTCATCCCCGCTGGCTGCACCATTGCGGTGGGCATGCAGGGTGTGCACAGCAACCCCGACGTGTGGGAGAAGCCGGAGGTGTTCGACCCCACCCGCTTCATCGATGCGGAGATCGCCAACGACACGAACTACCTCAACCGCAACACCTCTGGTATCAAGTTCGCCAAGAAGATCGACCCGTACGGGTTCATCCCCTTCATCAACGGGCCCCGCAACTGCCTCGGCCAACACCTCTCGATGATTGAGACGCAGGTGGCGTTGGCGTACATGATTCTAAACTACGACCTGGAGATCTACCGCGACTCCACCTTTAAGGGCGATGTGAACACGTACGAGGAGGCGGTTGGGCGCCATCACGACTTCATCATTCCTCAAGTCCCACACGATGGACTGAAGCTGTGCGGCACCATCAATAAGGTTTACCAGTGAGTGCAAAAAGGAAAATAAGAGAAATTAAATGATCATCAAAAGGAGGGCAAATGAAAAGGAAAAAAAAAGACCCTGTTTCAGCGCCGCTGCAACACAGCACAGCACCTTTCATTCACTGTTTCGTAGTGCTGCTCAGTTTTCTCTTATATAAATCTAAAGTAAGAAAAAATTTCCTTTCTGGCAGATGGGAGAGAAAAATTCTACGCGTGGTGCATCAAAGCCGTTTTTCCCCCCTAACCGAAGAAAAGACCCTTTTAAACAGAATTGTGTTCTTCTATCGTGTCGTGCGGATATGTATTTATGGGTCTCCGTTTCTCTTTCTCTTTTATTTATTTGCTTTGAGCTATTTTTCGCTTCTCCACACCTTATTCCTTAATCAGCAACAAAGAAAACAAACGCCTTGTTAAAAGAGTAAAAAGCCTGTGTGTAAGTGTGTTGCCCTAAAGTCCGTCGAGTTTTTCTTCTTCCGTTTTCTTGCCTCCATCAAAAAAAAAAAAAGAGCAGAACTAAAAGGTACTTCGTCTGAAAAGGATTGTGGCAATGATTAGACCAAGTGAATTGAGAAAACAATGTAAAGCGCACCGATGTGCTGACTAGTGCAGCACCTGTCGATGCATGCAACGCAGAAGCGGTACGGCCTTCTCAATTGCAAGCTCTTCAGCACCGGTACATGCGGACAACCGACAACAGTCGTTGAAGACTTGAGGTTCACTTTTGCGGAGAGCAGTCGACCTGTCGTGGAGCATCTTTCTAAGGAATCGCGTAAATGAGCATCTGTCTCACTCTCTTTCATCTCTCTCTCCTTAGCGGGTTTTCTCTCCGGGAAAGAACAGAAACAGACAGCGGGTTTGTTGAGCGCGGGGTCGCTTCAGCCTTACATGCACACGCACTAAATAGTAATTGACAAGCGAGGAGAGATGTACGGTACTCACCTGGCGCAGGAAAGTGCGGCACCCCTCATCTTATCAACGCTTTTGCGGAAGAAGCAACTACAACTGCCTCTGAAGGACGTTTTGCTGAGCAGCGCACACCCGCGCTCCCTCGCACAAATTTTACGGAAGTCGCACGATCGCAGCGTGTCAAAGCCGGCATCGGCGCTTTCACACCGGCACTTCGCTAATGAGAGAAGCGCGAGTCTCTTGACAGACTTGCCCGGGTTCTCTCCGATACCGTCGGCTTCCCCGGTTTTGCAGATTGTGGCGCTCTCTGCGGCACAAACGGAGCTGCGTCGAGCGCATGACACGATGACATCCCTCCCGCTCACTCTCCCTGAAGTCTCAGGCCTTTTCCGAGTGAAGCATCGCGAGCGGCTCCCGACTAGTTCTGGGACTGCCGTTGCCGCAATCGGAGATGCCCCTTTAGCACTAGTAGAAGGCAGGCCCGTTCACAGCGTCCAGCGCGAGAGCTTCAACCTTTACTGTACACCTGGAAGCAAAGATTTAATGGTGGTGGACGCCTCAGCCGGTTCGTCCAACGAGGGGTTTTTGTGGGAAGCGTTATTTGTGGCCGAATGCGTGCTGAACGAGCAAGGCACGTTGCTGGTCGTCTCACCTCATTCCTTCTCGCAGCGCATGCGCCGCTTTCTGAAGTGGCGCTTCCGCAGCGCCCATTACGCGCCGGCCCCGCACGGCGATGGGCACTACGTACAGTGCACCGCCTTGGCGTCCGACTTCGGTGCTTCCTCGGTCCGGCGAGATGACTTTCCCGGCTTCGTCTCGGGTACACAGCGACGTCCGCGGAGGTGGAATCCGTACCGCAGAGAGGAGGCGAAGAAGTTTGTGATGTCAGTGCGGCCCGGCTTCACTAACGCTGCTCGCACGAAGGATGCGCTGCTGCGCCACGTGGCCCGTGAGAAGGAGCGCGATGCGGCGCTGCGCGACGCCGACGACGCCTTTTTTGCGGTGGCACACGAGATGGTGGAGAAGGGTTCGCATTATTCGCAGCCAACCGATTGAAATGTCGCCAGTACGTCGTTTGTATTGGGAGTGTTTGCGTAAAAAGTACAATGAGGAGCCTTTCTGGCAAGCTGTGCCGCTTTTTGCCGCCGCCACTTGGAGACGTCCAACAACAACACAGGACTTTTCCATTATACACAAAGGAAGACGGCGTTTTCGCTTTTCCCGGACCCAAGGTTTTTATTCGACTGCGCGGACAACAGAAGGGAGCATAATCGTATGCTGTTTTCTGATCTTCGTTATTTTCCCCTCTCTTCTTTGCTTTTTTGACATCCATCTCTTCCTCACAAACTGCCGCGATGCGCAAATGTTTATTGCCGGCTGCAAACGACGCCCTCAGAAGTAACCACAAAAAAAAACCACATAGTAAAAAGGCGAAGTGCGTAGAGAGTGTCAGCGCTGTGCGGCTGTGCTCATTTCTGTTGTGACATTTCCGGTCCGCTGCGTGCTGCCTCCACACCTGCAAAACGACAGATTTCGCAAAAATACTACTACTACACAAAATGCGGCGCAAGGGACTCGTTGCCGCTGCCGTCGTGATGGTGGCGTTGGCTGCCGTAGTCTCTGCGCAAGACATCCAACTCCCTGCTGTCATCTACGACAACGCGGCGGGGGAGTGGAATGTGGAGGTGTTGTCGTCGTGTCGGTCGCCGACGTATGGCACGATCAAATTTCAAAACACAACGGCGCGCGTTGAATGGGAGGACGAAGGGGTACCTGATGTGCTGATCAGCGGCCAATCCACCGACGCACCGCTGAGCCTGGCCGCGCTGGCGGGCTTCATGTCAAAGGACGGCAAGGAGTACTCGTACATGACGTGCGAGCATCAGGAAAACTACCTGTCAACCCCTCAGCGGCCTCAGAGTGTTGCGCAGCTGTCTTCGACGTTCATGACCATGTACACCGGTGTGCTGAGCAGCTCCACTCGTCAGTGGAGCTGCTCCTCTGGCGTTGAGCGCAACGTGGTGATTGAGGCCTTTGGAGGTCCTTTGAAGGCGAACAGCCCAGGGCAGTGGAAGGTGCAGGAGGCGCTGTACTGGATTGAGATCGTCGTGGAGACGAAAGACCTCGTTGGGACCTGCGCGCACATGCGGTCGACAGCGGCGGCAGAGACGACTTTAGAAAGCAAGAGGCGGTCTCGCAAGCATCGCACCAGTCGCGGCTTCAACTCCGTCAGCGTCGCTGCTCAGGCAGACGAGGCGTTGACGGAAAGCGGCATCGTGACGATTCGCTTCATTCGCCGCAGCGGTACCGCAGCGTCGTGGATTACGCGCTACCACACGATCATCGTGTTCACCACCATTGTGGTTGTCTTCCGCGTCGTGCACTCTTTCGTGTCGACAAGAGCTGCGAAAACGCCGCTGTGAAGGCGCAAAATGGAACTTAATAAAGCGAAAGTACTAACGAACCTTACAGAACAACGACAGCAACCCCAAAATATCTGTGGCGGATGCGTTTGCCTCCCCACTCTTTCATCGCACCGGTGCTTACCGGTTGCGTTTACATCTCCTCGAAGTGCGTACGCGTCTACCCGCGTCCTCCATGTCAGTGAAAGTGTTCGGATTGTGCGCAGTCACTGAACTGCGTGCCGAGAGCAAGAACAGCGGAACTAAATCCTTTCACTGCTAATCGCTCCGCAACGCTCGAGTTCGAACGCCAGCACAGCTGTTCGTTTCCTCGCGTGCGGGAGCCATTTCACCAGCCGTCATGCTTGCACAACCTCAACTGCTTTCCTCGCTACTTCATTCCTTACTTTCAACTATTGATCGTTGTTGCTGTCGTTCCTTCCATTTTTCTTTTACGTCGAAACGTGCGATGCACCACCGACTGTGCCTCGGCGTTTGGCAACTTGTTTTATTGGTCGTTCTGTTTACGTGCCGCCGCCCGCTGCACTCATTCTAGGAGGACCGTTGGCGAGCAAAATAAGAAAAAAGCGCATTACGACGAAGGCGTCTCAATGCCTCGTGCACATCAAAAGGTGGAGACGGACAACTCCCTCTTCTCGCGCGTAGTGGAGCGGGGATGGCTTGCGTTTTTGCTGCTCGGGGTGTTCATGATCGGGCTGCGCCTCTACAACGTGCGACAGCGCCGTCAGCAGCAGCAACTGTTGCGGGAAGGTTTAATGGCTGAAATGGGCTACCGCGGAAAGGCGAACAAGAAGAAGGACTAGAGGCGCTCTTGTAGGCTGTTTCTGCCGATAGAAGCACTCTGCCTGTGACACCTCCGCAAAGGAACAACAGAGCGGTGGAAGACGGCCTAAGAGAAGAAAGAGTTGAGGGCTCTGCTGGATTTAATTAAGCGCTACTCACTAAGAATGCATGGCAATCGCAGAGTGCACAACCTGAAGACAACGTGCAATTTAAAGCCATGGAGAAGGTGGAGTTGGCGTAATCAACGCTGGTTATGCGTGCAGAGGTTTTTCTGCGCCTTTGGGGGAAGAGCCGCGCAGAATATTACGCTTGGAGGGAGAGAACAAATAGTTGCGCGGCGGTCTTGCCGTACGTCTTGGTAGTTACGAGTCGCTTGTCCTTCGTGACACTCCCTTTTCCTCTTCGCTTATGATTGTTATTTTTTTTTTTGCCGTTCTTGCATTTGCACGTTTCGCCTTTTGTCTTCACCTCGTTCACATTCTCCTCTGTCTCTCCTTCTTCAAGTGCATTTTACTTCAAAACTCACACACCCGCTTACACCGTGTGATTTCCCTGCCGCTTAAAAAAGAGAAGTCTACTGACCTTGTGCGAGAAGCAGGCCACCCAAGAAGGCCTAATTCCTGTACCTTTTATCCGTGTCTGCACGTAGCGCACCCTTTCTCACTTTCTCTTGCTCGCGATGTCGTACGTAAACGTCTCCGGGCTGTCCACCAGCAACGAGGACGATGCACTTCAGCGTCTCCTCTCCTCTAGCGGCAGCACCGGCGGCTCGCCCAGCGCGTTCCTCGATGCCATGCGCAAAACACAGGCGGAGAACGTTTTCGATAGCGAGGAGGTCGACAAACCGGCGATAGAAGTGGCAGCACCTCGACAGCAATGGGCCGAGAAGAACGCAAGGGCTGCTGAGAAGCCCAAAGAGAACGCTGTCTCGTTGCGGGAACCAAAAAAGATTTCTTCCGTGTCCACTCCGTCGCCGTCTGTGCAGCTCGCCACCACCAGCGGGCAGGCGTCCAGCTTCAAGGCAAACAATCCCACCGATGCCGACGCCCTCCCACCGTTGGCGGAGCTCATTCATCCAAAGCTGCGCCGCCCGCTAATGGGCATCATGAAGATTGAATCGCTGACACGCATCCAAAAACTCTGCTGGACTGCCATGCTGGACAGCAGCTGCGACGTGCTGGTGCGTAGCGAGACGGGCAGTGGCAAAACGCTCGCCTACGCCCTCCCCACCCTCCATCAGCTCCTCACGCACTGTGACACCAACCCGATCGGACGCGACGTTGGAACGCTCATCATCATCATGTGCCCTACACGTGAGTTGGTGCTGCAGGTGACGGAGACGGTGACCACATTGGCGCGCAATGCGCAGTTCATTACTGTCGGCGGCATTCACGGTGGTGAAAACCGGCACAAGGAGAAGGCGCGACTGCGCAAAGGCATGCCAATCCTGGTCACCACGCCTGGCCGGCTGCTGGACCACCTCAAGACGACGGCGTCCTTCAACATCGCCAACGCGCAGACCGTCATCATGGACGAGGCAGATCGGCTGCTGGACATGGGCTTTGAGAAGGCGCTGCGGGAGATAATGGAACTGCTGGCGAAGAAGTGCAAGCACTATGCGAACGTGAAGCGCATCCTCGTCTCGGCCACCATCACAGACGGCGTGGAGCGGCTTTCGCACTTCGCCCTGCGCGAAAACATCGCAAGAATTGGCGAGACCCAAGACACCTTTTCCATTCCCTCTACCCTCAATCAACACTACGTCATGGTGCCGGTGAAGCATCGCCTCGCTGTGTTGCTCAGCTTCCTGCGCTCCCAGCTCGACGCCGGCGCGCACAAGATCATCGTCTTCCTCTCCACCGCGGACAGCGCGGAGTTTCTCTACCTGCTCGCGTCTCGTCTGGAGTCTCCGTTTCATAAGAAGTCGTACGAGGGGAAGGTGGTCACGCGCTCACGCAGCGCGCCGATGAGCACGAAGAAAATGGTGGCGGCAGCGAACCGCCACCTCGAGGGCGAGACGGACGAAGTAGTGACCTTTGAGGAAGCCAGTGATGAAGAGCCGGAGAAGGAGGACGCGGTGGACAACACCGCGGCGCTGCAGCGCGCCTTCTTGGATGTCAACGTCTTTAAGTTACACGGTAACATGTCCCAGGTGGACCGTGCAGCCGTGTTTCACGCCTTCAAGTTTGGAGCTGCCGGCGCACGTAGCGATAAAGCCGTCCTTTTTTGCACCGATGTGGCGGCACGCGGGCTGGACATGCCGAAGATTGACTGGATTGTGCACTACGACCCTCCCACGGACCCGACCAGCTACGTACACCGCATCGGGCGTACGGCGCGTATCGGCAACAGCGGTGACTCCATTTTATTTCTCGCGCCCGACGAACTCGGCTACGCGTCGTACCTTACGCATTTTATTCACGCGCAGCTCACGCAGGGCGACGCCAAAGAGACGGCCGAGATGTCCGAGCGGAAGCATGAGACGTTCCTCTTCTACCTAACCAAGTTAGACCCCAAGTCGAATCACATGTGGATTCAAAGCACAGCCGACCTCGAGCGAGCCATCTCGCGGCTCGTCATGCAACACAGTCGCGAGCGTGGGGTGGACGGCAAAGACAGTCTGTACCGCGTGGCACTTTTCGCCTATCAGTCCTACGTGCGTGCTTACGCAGGCCTCCCGAAGCAAATTAAGTCTCTCTTCTTCTCCACCGTGCTTCATCTCGGCCACGTGGCGCAGAGCTTCGGCATTGACAAGAGCCCGTCAGACGTGCAGCGCGAATTGCAGTCCTTCATCCGCGAGGACCGCGTGTTGGCCCGTGACAATCGTAAAGGCACCGTGGTCAACTCCCACGACGAGGAGGGCACGAATAGGAAGCGGCAGCGCGTCGAACTGGATCATGAGAGCCGCTATCACAGCATGCTGGCGCAGAAGCAACGCAAGCTGACCCGCGACTGGGCGGAGAAGAGACGTGAAGAGAGCACAAAGATCCGGCCGCTACAGTTCTCGGAGTTTGACGCCTAGTCGTGACGAAGAGCTTCCTGTGAATCTTTAGCCACCGAATCGGAGAAAAAAAATGTATTTCGACATGTGAGAGCCTCCTTAACTAACACGAGTAAGCAACGGCCGTAGTAATGTTAATGATGAACAACAACAAACAGAAAAATAGAGGGAATGACAATTGCGCAGAGTTACTGACACCCAACTGGAAGTGACGCCTGGCAAATTACAATCGAAGGTACTGATGCTGCAGAGTCGAAAGGAGCCGCGTAAAAAGAATGAACAACATTCGTGAATGAAGCTTCAGCTCTTATTGCGATACACTGTCAGCAATGCTACATGGACGCTTACGAACTCTTCTGTCGAGTGATGCTATCATGAGCCACACGCTGCCCCTGACGTTTCTCAACATGTTCCGCCAATCCTAAATCACGTCTACGTGTATTCATCGCGTCGACGGTGACCTCGTGGATTCTCCTTTATCTCCAACCTCCCCTTTTCCATCTCTTCTGTACGTTGGCAATTAAACAAACACTCAAACAAAAAACAAATGCCGACTTTTCTTTTGATGTGGATCAGCTATCGTTGTGCACTCACGAAAGGCGGCGACGGAGAGAGGTTTATCTCTTGACACTGCCCTTTGCTGTATTCTTTTCTCTTCTTCGCTCTGCTGACTCGTCGTTCGTTTTTTTCTTTTCGTTGTTTGGCGATTCGAAAATGTCTGCTTTCTCCCCCTTCCTGCAGGCGGCGACCATTTCAACCAACGCGATTGGGTTCTGGGACGCCTACCTGCTATTTCGCCAACGCCGCTCCTACAACACAACGGAGATTCCCGCCTACTTCAAGGAGAAAGTGACGGAGGAGGAATTTGACAAGGCGCAGGCGTACGGCCGTGATTCGACGTCTTTCAGTCTGCTAGAGCACGTGAAAGGTCTCGTGCTGAGCAACGTGGAGCTTCTGCTGAGGGTTCCCGCACGCTTCTATTACTACGTGGCGAAGCGCACGGGCTTGACTGTTGGCTCCTTTGCGCACAACTACACGTGCGCCGTCGCTGCCGACGTCGTTTCCATCGTCCTCGACACCCCCTTCTCCTACTACGATACTTTTTATCTAGAGGAGCGTCATGGCTTCAACAAAACAACAAAGATGGAGTTCGTCAAGGACATTATTAAATCCTTTCTCCTCCGCATCATCCTGTTGTACCCGGTTCAAACGGCGCTGATCCAGTTTGTGGTGCGCCAGTTTGGCGAGCGTTTCCCGATTTACTTCTTTGGCGGAATGACTGTCCTGATGTTCACTTTCATGGTCATCTATCCCAACTTCATCATGCCGCTGTTCAACAAGTTCACCCCGATCGACAAGGAGTCACCGCTGAAGAAGAAGATTGAGACCTTATGTGCGACAGTGCACTTCCCACTCAAGAAGGTTTTCGTGGTGGACGGCAGCCGCCGCTCGCACCACAGCAACGCGTACTTTTACGGCTTTGGCAAGAACAAGTGCATCGTCCTCTACGACACGCTTCTAGAGCAAATGAAGGAGTCGGACGAACCCATTTTGGCTGTGCTGTGCCACGAGCTGGGCCACTGGAAGCACTGGCACATGTACATCAACCTCAGCATCGCATTGGCCCAATTGCTTGGCATTTCCTACGGTGCCGGCGCCGCCGTGTTTAACCCGCGCGTCTACGAAGCTTTTGGCTTTCATCATACCGACCCCGTCGTTGGCATGTACCTTTTCCTGGAGGTGTTCTTTCAGCCCATCTCTGCGCTGATGGGCCACGTTTCCTGCTACATTTCCCGGCAGCACGAGTTCCAGGCGGACCGCTTCGCCGTTTCGCAGGGCTACGGTGGGCCCATGAAGAAGGCGTTGCTGGTTATGACGAAAGAGAACAAAAGCGCCATCACACCAGACCCGCTTTACTCAGCCATGACGTATACCCATCCACCCATGCTGGAGCGCTTGGAGGCTCTAGATGTGGAGATGAAGAAGCAGAAGTAGAACTCAATAGGCTATTGGGTTCTGCGTGTCTTCAGTCGAGTTTGCATGTATCGGTCTGTGGATGTGTGCGTGGATGTGTGTGAGTGGCTGCCGTACACACACGTTGCAATTGATTTCTTTTTGCGTCATATTTGTGGACAGCGTCATCACACTTTTCTTTGTTCCTCATTGCACACCACCAATGCGTCTGCGGTACGTGCGAAACGAAAAGAGGTGATTTCTGGTTTCTTTGTGTTTGCCTCTGTCGTCCTTATGTAGTCGCGCTAGAGTCGTGGTGTAAAAATCTATTCCGTTTCTTTTCGTGATGCATCTTTGGGGCCTTTGGTGCGTGCCGTTTTTTTCCTTCGAAGGCAAACGAAGCGTTTATGATGTTCTTTTCTGCGTCTGGAGCAACGGTGGTTTTCAGTCGTTTGTGCTTTGCCTCAATAGGGCAGCCTCTGTCGTCGAATGACTCACACCCACTTAGCAACACATTTCTGCGTGCTCTACATCTTTCTCCCCTCCCTTAACTTATCCACCGCCTCTGTCCACACCGCTGCAGTTTCGCGCATCGCACCGGCTTTCGACAGCTTCTGTGCTGCAGTTTGTTGCGCTGGCACTTCGATTGTACGACCTCATTAACTCGAATCATGGACATGGAGGGGCCGTATTTGGTGATCCCTACGAAGCGGGGCGCGGTGCCCACGTTGACTCCGGCACAGGCGAACGCGATTTTGGCGCCGGAGGAGCGCATTGTGGCAACGAGCGTATTTGACGCCGTGGACTTCGTGAAGCCGTGTGCTGAATCGGGAATGTCCATGAGCGAGTTCTGCGGGCTGCGCGGGTACAAGACAGTGCTGACGCTGCGGTCCTCCTTTCAGGGCTCCCACACTAGTGCTGCGTCGACCGACGCGGCGGTGGCGGGTGACAGCGAGAAAGGACGCGCCATCGTGTCGATAGACAAGTGGGAGGAAGTGGTGAGGGCAACGAAGCCGGTGATCGCGGTGGAGCTCCACGAGTCCGTGGCGCTGTCGGAGCCGCTGAACAAGCGACGTCGCGTAGCAGCCACGCGATCGGAAACATGGCAGACCAAGACGGAGGCGCTCGCCGAGCTGGGTTGTGAACTGATGCCGTCTATATCGGTCAGAGGCCCACACGCCGCTGGTTTTATTGATGCTGTGCCGCGCAATGAGAACGCGCTTGAGTTTTTCGATGCCTTGCAATCGCTCAATCTAGCTGCTGCGGGGCCCAGCATGTGCGTCGCGCCCAGCGTCTCCGCACTGGTGGCCGCGATGTTGAACGACGTCACGTTTATTGAATGCCCGTTGCCGTGGGTGTTGGCTGAGAAAGGCTTGGCAATTGTTTTTCAACTCTGCAGTGGTGGCTCTGACGATGCAGAGGCTGCAACGCCGCTCTTAGACTTCAACGACAACGTCTTCGCACTGGATATTCGTCCCATCTCCTCGAGCTGCCCGTGCTTCACGTGCACGCGACACAGTCGCGCCTACCTGCATCATCTACTGACCGTGCAGGAGATGAACAGTGACATTTTGTTGTCCATTCACAACCTGTCGCAGGTGACGCGGCTCGTGCGGGCGTATCGCGGTGCCAGCGCGGAGGAGCAGGACTCGCTTACACGCCGGGTGTTGTCGGCGTTCTAGTTTTGTGAGGAGGTATTGTAATACTGGTGGGGAGGGAGGGGGGAGGAGTGTGCAACTCTTTGCATAAGCTAAATGTGCTTCTGGGGAAATAAAAAACCTCCTGTCGGTTTGTCAGTGCGTGAGCTTTTCAACGCGTTGTGTGGTTACGTGTTTTGCTCTCTTCGCCCCCCTTTTTTTTTCATTTTGCCACATACGTTTGCACTGAATGAGCATCACAAAGACAAGGTAGAGAACGTCGTTTCACCTTTTCTGGCTGCAATAGTCTTGTCCTTTTCTCCGTAGCAGCCGTTCTCTCTCCGCCATGCATTCTACCAAATGATGCCTCAACGCAAGCACATATCCCCATCAGAGTGCATTGCAGGTTATTTTTAACTTTCTTGAACACCACAACAGCCAGGGAACTACGCCTTCACTCGCAGAAATGATCTTCATGTCGTTCCATTTGTCTTCTTCTTGCACCTGCCCGCTACAGCGTGCGCGGTAGCTGCTTTTGTCTCTCTCTTTTTTTGTTGCTAAGAAAGTCGACCCCACCAACATGCATAGAAGAATCTTCATAGATTGCTGCTCCAACACACATACACTTGACAACACACGCGCCGTTCATACAACATATTCGACGGTTTTGCTTGCTTCTACAGTTCCATAGATAGCCTCTAAATGGCCTATGCCCAAATTAGTGCGGCAGCGCGACGCGGGCAGCCGCACTTCGTGTGCTTGCTGCTCTTCCTTTTTGCACTTGCTCTGATCACGGCAGCCACACAAGCTGCCGGTCGAGAGAACAGCTCCTGCGACAACTACGGCTTTGTTTTTGACACTGCCGATCAAAACTGCGCTGCATGTCCCGCCAACGCGGAGCGGGTGTCAGGGCGGTGCATGTGCACTGCCGGATACGCACAGCAAGTTGACGCGGCAAGTGGCACGGAGTCGTGCGTGGACTGCGCTGCGGAGAGCATGATGGTGAGCATGGTGTCCTCCGTGAACTCCTCCTCCTACTGCCTGCCCTGCGGCGGTGACACGCAACTCAGCTGTCTGTCGAGTTCCACGTACAATGCATCCACAAAGACGTGCACCTGCCCGAGTGGCAGTGTGCTTGTGCAGCAGGTCGGCACGCTGGTGCTGGCAGGCGCGATGTGCGCGAAGTGCGGCTCGGCGGAGTGCACCACGTGCTCGTGGCCGTACACCATGGATGCCGCGTCCGGTAAGTGCACGTGCGTTAGTGGGTACACATCGCTCTACGACGCCTCATGCGTGCCAACGGCGGAATATCAGTCCATGGTCTCTGCTGCAGCGTCTTCGTCTGCCGTGCTCGCACCGCCAAACATCGACAACAGCGGTGCAGCGGGCTCGTCCACGACGATTACCGTTGTGAAAACCTACTCCATCGGCGCGGCCGTGCTGTGCCGTCGCGGAAACCACACGGCGTGTGAGATGCTGGCCAACTTGTGTGTCTTAATGGACTACCAAGCAACCTCCACTCCCTGCGTGCTGTACCAAGCCATCAAGAAGTCTATGCCATGCGCAGACCAGTGGTGCGAGACGGTGGATGGGTTTCCGTGGCTGTACTACACCCGAAGCAACGCCGTGGTGCTCAGTGACGCGGCAACCCAAATAGGCGTGACAGCGCGCAAGCAGCTGCAGTTTGTTGTCTCGCTTTACGACCTCTACGGCAACTGGATCGGCTACGAAGCCATGATCGATCAGGTGAATCCGTGCTTCCTGGGGAACACGCAACTGGAGAAGTTCACGGCGGCTGGCGCCACGCGTGCGACGCACTGCAACGTCAACTGGCGATGGTTCCTCCACGCAAACGACACCGTCTTTTATGAAGTTTTCCTGCGAGATCCGTCCAACGTCACCCATCTCATCGCTGTCCCTGTTCTGGTTGACTACTCCAACGACGTTTTTCACCCCCAAACGTTCAACGACTTGTGGCTGTACCGCGGCGAGGGCACGGTGGATGGGTCGATGCCCGCAACTGGATTCCGCCGCCGCTTTTACGCCTACGACAACGTCGGCGGCCACGACGTCGCACTGCGGCCCGCCAACGCAACGTACATCACGGCGCTATGGAGTGCCAGTGTGGTGCTGGGCCTGTCGGCGAGCGCTCACAGTCCCAGGGCGACGCCGCTGCTCGTGCTACGCTACGCTTCCAAGATGACGTCGACCATGGCAGGGGCGACGGTGACGGACGCCTTGCACCAGCTCCGTCAGTCGCCGCTGAACGCGAGTGGCCGCGCCGGCTACACGTTGCAGTGCGAGATGCGTTCATACTTTTTGCTGCGCAGCGACGGCGTCGCGAATGGGATGAGAATCACCCTCATCGTCGTCTCGGCTCTCTGCTTTGTCTCGGCGTGGCTGCGCGTATACGGGTGGATGCGCCGGCGCCAGTATCTCGTTCTCGACTGGCTGGCACTGCTGCGCTTTTTTGTGTACTTGTGCAACCACATCAGTAACGTGTACTTCGTCGTCGTCGCCATAGCGTCGTGGTACATTTTTATTGCCTACAAGGACCAGTCCACGCTGTCCCGAGCGATGATGGCGAAGGATCTGTACATCAGCGCCATGCTCTACACCGCCGTCGTTGCGAAGGCCGTCACGGTGCTGTACCGTCTGGTGGAGCAGTGCAACGCCGACTACTTCGTGATCGACTGGGAGCGCTCAAAAGGCCAGCTCCTGCGCGAGAACAAAATTGTGCCAGTGAGCATGTGGCGCTCTACTTTTGTGGCCAACGAGCTGAACGAGCTGCAGGCGCTGCGGTACTGGCACCCCCTTCTGACCATGGCGATCATCCTTCTCTTCCTCGTTGGTCTGGAGTACCTGAACATGTCTGCAAGCGTTCCACAGGGTTCGCGCTACGTCGGCGGCATGACGGAGACCTTCGAAACGCTTTGCATCGCCATCGACACCTTCTTCTGGATCGCGGTGGCGCTCGCCATGTACTTGCTAGAGTATCAAATCTTCTACCGCTTCGTTGTGGTGCACCCCCTGCAGGCCTTCATTGATCTGTGCTCCGTATCGAACATCTCCATCATGATTCTGCTAGAGCAGCAATGGGGATTCTACATCCATGGCGAGTCAATTTACGCGCACGCCGATGTCAGCATGCAGGAGTTCCAGAATAACCTCTTTCTCGAGGTGCAGGGTAACTTGCCCGTTCGCGGTCTAGGCGGGCTGAGCAAGTCGCAGGCTTTCGAGGTGTACCTCGGCCCCTACACGCGCCAGTACGTCTACATGTGCTACATGGAGATGCAACTGGAGCACCTCCGCTCGCTCGGCAAGCGAGAAAAACTAGTGAATCCCGCGCGGTGGCATTACCTCACCTTCCTCTTTGGATTTGCGCGCAAGCCGCGGGTGTACTCCCAGGCAGCCCTCGCCATCAAGGACCGCATCAACAACGCATTCCAGCAAAGCGTACGCCGCGCCGAGAGCACACTTCTCGTGAAGTTTGTGCTTCACAAGTGGCTCGACTTTCCGCCCAACGTGATGTACATGAACGGGCCGCAGCGAGGCGACCGCGGCGGCAAGGACTTATTCTTCATTGACAGTGCGGAGTCGTACGGACGCGCGTTCCTGTGCGGCCTGGACTTTGATTTGTTCGTCCTCTACGCAGCCTTGTTTGCGGCGGTTGATTCCTCGCTGAACAACCCGTACGCTGCGATGGTGCTCACCTTTGCCGTGGAGGTGGTGTTGCGGTTTTACCGCGTCCGCGAGGGTCTTATCAATATGAGCCACAAAACTATGATCGATGATCGCTTCTTTATTTAAGTTGGTCTCTCTTTTGTTTTTGCTTTTGTCTTCATTGGCATTCTCCGTTTAGATTCGACACCGATAGACAAGAGACACACAGACACACAGGAACTGATAACCACCAGAAGCGATTTTGGACTCCATCATTATTGCTCTAAGAAGTTTCTTTCCTTCCTGCGTCTACACGCCTTCATTTTTGGCCTTTTTTTGGATTTAGTGACTGCTTGCTGCTGCGCAACGTCCCGCAGTGTTCTGTCACAATTTTTCCCCAAACAATAAAGGGGGAATAATAAACGTAGAAAAGCAGGCTGTCACATATATTGCTGCTTTGCGACGGTTCTTGCGAAAACGCGGTACTAATAGGTCAGAAAGAAAACTGTTATGTAGAGAGAAGCACAAGGTCACTAGCGGACTGACTGTTGGATAGATTTCGAGGTAAATAGTCAACGGAAATGCACAGCTTGCAAAGATTGAATTCTCTCTCTCCTCCACGGTTACCCCAGTGGCCTTCCCCCAGAACATCAACTTTCTCGATCCGTTTTGTGTGCCTCTTTATCTTTCATCACCAACATGTTTACTTGAAGGCCGCACCCAATTCCGTTTGCTTCCTCACTGAAGCTGATTTGACCGTGATGAAACGGTGTTCTAACGCAGCGTTGAGGTGGGCGATGCGCCGTTTGAGCGCGCCTTGCTGCTTCGCACAATTAGGCGGCAGCAGTTGTCTTCAGCGCAGCAGTACATCGTGGACGGCACCGTCGGTCTGCGTTCAACGACGCGGGCTCGCCGACTCACGCGATCCACCGCGAAACCCAGATTCTGAGAACACTGCGTCGCAGGCGTCGGCCAAGCGCCGCGAGCCGCTTCTGGGTGTGGTGCAGGTGACCTCCAAGAACATCAACACGGAAATGGAGTCGAAGGTGCCGCTGTTTCTCTACTTTATGGTGACCAACCACCCAGAGGTGCGGCAATACACGGAGCTTCTCACGCATCAAGTCGACCAGGCAAACTGCCGCTTGAAAAGTGAAAAGTTTGGCGAGCTGTACCAGGAGTTCGGCAAAGACGCCGGCCTCGCCATCAAACTCGGTATGGTGGATTGCTTGCAAGAGCCCGGTCTCATGACTAAATTTTACATTGACCCCCACATGTTTCCCATCATCTACTTTGTGCGCAACAAAGTGTTTTGCGACAAACTCGTCGGCATCGTTGCCGAGTCGCAGGTGAAGGATGCGGTGGAGGCCTTCATCGACTACGCCAAGGCCGAGTCGAAGAACGAGGCGGAGGGGAACACGCTGCTCCAGAAGATAAAGCGCCAAGACAATGACGACGAGAACGCCATGACGCTCATCGCCACTGCGCACACGAAGATGAAGTCAAAAGATGTGAACAAAGCCAAAGAACTCTACGCAAAGGCGCTTCGAATGTCCACCGACGACATCGAGGTGGTCAACAGGCGGCACAATGCAGTCAACAAGAAAATGACGCCTCAACTGTGGGCGTCGCTGAAGCGCGAGCCATGCTACAACACCGCTCCTGAAGCACTCTGCGGCCTTGCGATGTGTGCGATGGCATCGAATAATATGGAGGAGTCCCTGCAGCTCGTGAAGCGTCTCCGCAGTGAATTCCCGTACGCCGTGAAGGACATGCGCAGTGTTGCGGAGGCCGTGGTGCGTATCGAATTGATGGACATCGTTGACTTTGATGCCGAGAAGGACAACTACATGAGCCTGCTCAAGTACGACGAGCTCATCAGCGACTCCGTGCAGTTCTACAAACACCACCTCAAAAAGGCGGTCGCCTTCTACGTGGAGAACCTCTCGGGGCTGGCGATTGAGGAGTGTATTCGGCTCATCCGTGCGGAGCCGAAGCTGTTGCCGGCGTTGAAGGAGGCTGGCGTCGTCCCGAAGGACCTCCACCTCGGACCCACCGCCGTCACACCTGCTCGCCAGGTTGTTCATCTCTTCTTCGAAGCGCTCGGGCCGACGGATGAGCAGGTGGAAAAGGGACGCAAGGTACTCCAACCCTACTTGTAAGGGTCTCACGGCACGGCGCCACATGGAGCCTTTTCCGTTGATGGAGGTAGAAAGCGTTGTTACCTGTTCGGATTCACAACACAAATTGTAAGCCTTTTGCATTCGATAGCGGAACAGGAACGTCAAGTTAAAAGGCAGAGAGGGAGATGCAACACCCATGTGGTTCGCATGTGAGCGGACCCTTCACAAACAGAGACACTGCTTCCTTCTTAGGAACACTGTTACGTGCTTGCACGTTCTCGTTTTCTTTTTTTTCTTGGATTCATGGAAGTTATGCGAGCTTCGTCGATGCGTCTCTACGCAAAATTGTGGCAACTCTGTGTAATTTAGTGTTTTTTTTTTAATCTTCCGTTCTTCTCTTCCTTTCATGTCTTATCGTAGTCCGTCGTTGTGGCCCACTGGCTCGGGAGAAACGGCGCGAGCCACCGCTCTGGAAGCCGCCACGATGTGAGGTTCGATGCCAAAAACCGTAGGAGCAATAAGAGCGACTGCCGCTGAGTCTTAACGTAGGCAACGCAGACAACGACATGCTGAAGCTTCTCCCGAATAGTATGAGGGACCGAGTGGAGGAGCTGAACGTCTACACCTCTTCAGGAGCTGTGTATGTGCCAAACCGCACACCAGAGAGCGACGGTCAGCGCGGGACCTTTCTCAGTTCACTTTTGACGTTTCCAAACATAACGAAGTTGTCAATTTTGTGCCGGGAAGGGTGTGAAACCTCTCGTGATGTAGCTGACGTGAATCGCGCGCTACGTGTTGCGGCTCAGATGACGATCAGCGAGATACAAGTTACAGGTTTTAAGCAACTGAGCGACTTCTCCGCGCTGGAGGGATCGCAGCACCTTCGACACCTGAAAGCCACCCGTTGTGGAATACGGTCGGTGGCAGAGTTGGTGAGCTGTCCGATGCTCACCGATCTCGACGTCTCCAACAATCGACATCTGCAGAGTGTTTCCGATCTCGCAGGCGCACCTCGTCTCACAATTCTCGTCGCAAAGAATTGCAATTTACAAAACCTAGATGGTCTTGACAGCTTTCCCAACCTCCTCAAACTTGACGTGTCAGGCAACGACTCTGTAGAAAGTCTTCACGGCCTTGCTGGCGCGGAGAGTCTCGAGGAACTTGCAGTCAACCACTGCAAGCGACTGTGCAATGTTGACGGTCTCAACAGCTGCCAACAACTCGGCGAGGTCGACGTCTCCTACAACGAGATCTTGGAAGACGTGAGCGGCCTTGCTGGTGCACCATCCCTTCGGATTCTCAATGCGAAGGGGTGTCGGCTGCGCAATGTCGCTGGGCTCAACGGGTGCCCACTACTCAGCGAGATCTATATCTCCGACAATGTCTCTTTGGAAGACCTGAGCGGCCTTGGTGGGGGGCACCTTCCCTTCGCGTTATCAAAGCGAGCGAGTGTGTGATAAGCTGCATAGATGGCCTTAACAGGTGCCCACTACTCAGCGAGATCGATATCTCCCTCAACGACGTCTTGAAAAACCTGAGCGGCCTTGCTGGTGCACCAGCACTTCGGATCATCAAAGCGAGTGAATGTGGTCTGCGCAGCGTAGGTGATCTCTACCGCTGCCCACGACTCGCTGAGCTCGATGTGAGTCTGAACAGGCACCTAGTGAATGTGGATGACCTTGCTCTATCCCCCAGTTTAAGGCGTTTAACACTATATGGTACAAACTGTACGCGCGCTCGTTTTCTGAATTCCTCCATCGTGCTCCAGTGATAGAGGATAGCAAGGCTGGAACTCGACAGCTTTCACGCGTTCCTTTTTCTTCTACTAAGCTTTCGCCATTTTTGTACTTGACTGCACTGGCGAGGAGTGTCTGTGATCAACCACCCCTTGCGGTGTCATCTGTTTCTTACCGCTTTATTCCTTTTCATTCCTTTTTGTACCTTGCTCTTTCGATAGCTTTCCGCTCTCGAATCACTCTTCTTTTCTTGTTTACTGTCTGCATAACTGGTAATTAAAACTGCGCCTTTTACCCAACGGTATGTTTTGAAAGCTCAGCTGCGTGGACTATGCCGATTGAAAGTAGAAATCCGGGTAGTCTCCGCAGTTTGCAGAGGCTTTCTCTTTTAACTCTCCCACTGTTGTATAAAACGTCTTTTGTCAAACCGGTCAGGCGTTTAACTTCATTCTCACTGTCTTTATTTTTGTACTCGGTGGCACAGCAGCGCTGACTCAGCACCGTCGCAACACTCGTAAGTGGTCGGGCTGCGCCTCCAAAACAATAATAATGCTCTTCTTTTTGCGGGCTCCTTCTCTTTTGAGCTCTTTTTTTTGTAAGTGTTGGCTCGATCGATGCCGTACCCCTCTTTTTCTTTTCGTGGCTTCGAGGCGTTTCAGGGCGTACAAGTCCTTCGAACTGGCGCTTCTAAGTCACATAATGTCCCATTACTCCAGGTGGATTACAACAATCCCCTTCTTTTTGTATGCGTCGGTGGGCAACGACAGGGAGAATAGCGTCTCTTTGGTACTGCCCGCTGCGCAAAACTCCACGTTTGAATCCATCTGTCCTTTTCTTTCTTGTCTATTGTACGTGAAAGGTGTCTGAACTAAGGCAATAATAACACCACCCCCAGAGAGTGTTGAACATGATGGAACAGCGGAAGAAGATCATACGGGAGGCTCTCCCAAGTGCGCAAGCAACGCAGCAAGTTTGTATTGCAAGGAGATAGTGCCCTGCAGTGACGTTTCATCTGCGACGTTAGAGCGTGTAAGGGACAGAGGTTGGTACTGCTGAATTGCTGGTAATGTCACCTTTCTCGTCATTCTTTACACAATGCTGTCTCCCCGCTCTTCTCTCGTCCAATCTTTGTCTCTTTTCGTCTTGTCTTACGTGCATTTGGTTCTTAGAGCAAACTGCCTTCACGAGTGCTTCGATCACAGATGAAGGACGTAGCGGACCGTGCTGCTTCTCAAGCGGCATAATAGCTGAACACTTTCTGATCCCAGGTACTTCCACCGATGCGTGTGCTTCGTCGAAAGGGAATGAAACGAGGCAGCGCTTCGAACCCACAGATGGGCTGCGGCCGTCATATACAACGGTTGCTTAGCACGATTGGCTCGGTGCAACAACAGCAGCACTATCTTTTCTTTGCCATGCCATCAGGCAGCGGATCGGAGCCATGC